TGAGGAAAACCCAGGCTGATAGCTCCCATGCAGTGTGCCCCAACTACCAGTTCAGCTGCCCACTGACCTTAAGTTAGAAGCACCCACGTGCCTTATGGAAACACTGCCTGCCACGAAGGTACAAAGAGCAAGAATGGGTCTCAATGCTCCCTTTTCCAACCATAATCCTCTTCTGAGGGCTAATGAACTGTAAATTCGTGTTGGAAAATAAAGCTTTTTTTTTAAACAAAATGGGGGGCAAAAAGAGCCATATATACAAAATGAACCCAGTGTGGTCAGAGACTATGTGGTTTGCTGCTTCTAGAAGTAAATGGATGTAAAGGACAAAAGAACACTGCATTAGCAAAAATAAGCTCTTGTAAGAATAGACAAAGAAAATCTATTTTGGGGAATTCAGGTTTCAGCATAAAGCAGAAATAATGGAGGAGAGATGTGATCAGTAAGCTTGCATATAAAATTTAGTTTCCTGACATAGGAAAAAACTCTGCTATCTTATGAACTGCATGCAATAAGGTATGTCCTCAGTAAATTACCTCTATTCTGGAAGGTTTTATGTTTAAAGTCATATTCATCTTGCACGTCCTCTAGTGTCTTGATGTCTTGTTCTATATCCTATAAAGCATGAATGAAGATGGAACAATTACTCAATTTCACATTATGCAAGACTGTGTCTGACCAGGATCTGCCTGCCAACAAGCACTTACACTGATGAATGTCTTTTCCTGGAATTCCCTAAGAGGAAATATTTCTAAATTAACCTCTATCTAGTTACCTTCCCTCTCTCATTTTAGCAAACAAAAATCTGTCCATAATAAAACACAAAGCCCTCAGTGCCTGGCCATACCAGTTGAGAGAACCCAGAAGAACCTAGGCTACCATGTGGGACAGCACATGGCATCTTCAACTTCTTTCAAACTCTTGAGTATTGCACTGAAAAAAGCTTACTCTTGGGACTGTATTTATTAAGGCAATAAGCACCAATATGCTACCAGGAGAAAAAAAAATCTCTATCTTCTAGTAAACAAAGAAATGTCAATTTATGATCTTTCTTTGGTTGCATAGTATTCCATAGGTAACATGTTTTTACTGCTAGAATTTAAGCACAATAAATTTGATATTGCCACAATAGCCAAATCCCAATCCATACTGCAGTGCTATTGACAAATACTGGCTTGCTACGTATTATTGACTGATAATTGAGTAGAAAACCAAACAGTTGCCTAATTTACACTTGTTATTTAAAGAATACTTCATACACTGAAAACTCTTTGACATTTATGATTCAATAAGTACTACTTCAAGTACAGCTGGAATCACACTATACTTACTGTAACACTGTTTTTTACAGCCTTAACTTTTGCATCAAGCTCCTTCTGTTTGTCCAGCATTCCAGTCATGGTGTTCTGTACACCTCCCACTTCCATCTGAGGTAGGCAAGCAGAACAAAATCAGAAGTCAAACAAGACTGAACTAACAGCAAATACTTTTTAATTAATGTCAGTTGGTGGCTTTTGCTGACAAACAGCCTAGTTGAGGTATTACTTGTTCTGATAAATCATAGTACTTTTTTATAAAAGTGACTTTGTGAAGAAAAAGCAAGGGTGAAGAAATGTCTTTCACGGGGAGATGTTGCATGCTTTGTCGTAGCAATAAAAAGCTATTAAAAAAAATTCTCTGCACAAATCCTTTTTGTTTTATTTGCTTATCCTCATGTATTTTCTAATTACATTCCAGGAAAACAGCAACGCTGAAGCCTGGATCACATCTCCTTTAAATGCTAGATTTCATCCACTTGGGCTCTGGGGATGAAAGCGAGAGGCACAAGAACAAGATAGGCTGGCATACAGGATAATGCAGGATGCAGTTTATTTCCTATGGGGCATTAAAGCAAACTTCAGATCTCAGCACTGGAAGGTTTCATTTCAGAAGCTCATAGCGTGACTTCTCTCAGGGGGAGTTCCAGTAGTTTCAACGACTGGATTTTTGTTCCACATGTAACTACTATAAGTATTAGAAACATATTGTTTTGCCAATGCAGGCAACTTACAAACTGGCAAAGGTTCCCAATAGTAGTTTAAATGGAACCATAATGGCAATCTGAGTATTGTCTAACAGGAGTATCTCCTTTTACGGTGCTTATAAGTTCGTTTGTTCTGGGAAATAAGAACCTTTACAAGAAATCAGAGAGTAGGGCATGGTGTTTCAAGTAGTGTCAACAATATGTGAAAGAAGATTTATTTCCTTTTTTTAAACGATTATTAATAGAAACATCTGGAATACTGAAAAGGAAGTTTTGGGTCCTTCATTTCATAAGCCAGCACAGAAACTGACAGCTGCACTGCAGCTCTGAGGAAAGTATCTGGGAATGGCTTTGCCAAAGTTGCATACTTAAGAGAGCTATTTCAAACACAGCTGCATTAGGATGACTGTTGAAAGCCCGTGCTCCAATGCTTAGTTCTCTCTGTAATACTATCAAAAACTTGCTGTAAAGGGAAGAATTGCTGTCTCAGAACAGAATGTGTTCAGACAGTTATCGCTTTATTTCATTAGTAGATTGGACACAATACATGGCTTTCTTAACTGTGGATTTTTTTTATTGCAACACAGTTCTTGGAAAGGAAAACCCAAGCAGATGCGCTGCCAAAGAACTGATGAGGTGAAGAATATGCTTTGCCTATGGTTCAGAGGTTCAGTTTCAAATATATACATAAATATTGAGAGTAGCTGGGAAGAAAGAATAGCTTTGCTTTGTGAGACAGTCCAGAGACCCACTAAAGCTCAGCTGCTCAATAAAGAGTAAATCAGGAATAAAATGGAGAAGGAAGAAAGCTGACATCTTGTTAGAGAAATAAGGCAAATGTTATTTATTAAAATGTAATAAAATCTGACGAGCACCTTAGGCCATAGTAAGAATTAAAACCAGCTGTTCACATTACTCAAAGAATCAAAATTACTTCCTTGCCCTTTCCGCCTTTGAATAGCTCATGCTACTCAAACCAGCTGGTATCCCAAGTAAAGGGCAGACACAACTGCAGTGGACATTTCAAAACTTACCTACCTGATTAGACAATTGTGCACTGTTCAATATTTTCCTTTCCTCTTTCAGACAGTTGTGGATGATCATTGCCATGTGTATCGGGTCTTCTTGGAAGTTATCCTGGCATTAAATATGGGCTATTGTTAAACTTTATATGTGTAATCTCTTGTATTTCATTACATCAATTGACAAGAATAATGTGTCTGGTTAAGCCTGTGTTGTATCTTGCTTCAAGACCACAAGGACTGCAACCACCTCTAAGAAGTAGTTTCTGCACCTGCTATTTTACTTTGTTTTGTTAGGGTACAAGGAGTTGATGGGACTCGTCACATAACAATGAGAGAGGGCTGGAGATATTACTGGGAGAAGGAAGATAGTACACTATAGTCCTGGAGACAGCTTGTCCTCCCTCGAGAGCCATACTTCCACACGTTGGAGGTATAGCTTCAGCTTTTAAAGAGGAGTTCTAGCTTGACAGGTACAGCTCTTGCTCAGGAAGATAAAGGAGGGATGTTGGCTGCCACTTGGGAATGCACAGACAAGGGAAGTAAGGAGGTCCACAAATACATTCTGCAGTGCCATCCACTACCCAGTGCTTGGTCCTCTTTGCCAGTATAATATGATGTACAGAAGAAATAGATTCCTTGCTATTTATTGTGATTCTGTAGCTATACGTAGGGATTTATTCTCCTGTGTTTCTTCTGCATCAGAGACTTCTCAAGACACTGAAGAAACTGCTTGGGGAACGAATGGGGCAAGCAAAACTGCATTCCTGTAGGCATTCCAAATACATGCAGTAAACACCTTACAAACCACAACTTCTGTTTCTTGAGTTCTCAGAAACCGTAACTGTACTGTTAATGAAACTAACTTTGTAACTGTAGCCAACTAAAAACAAAAATAAAAATGGAGTAATGTTTGAATTCTGACTTTTAAAATTAGGGTACTCAAATACTCTCTGGAAAATCCCTCATGGCAGAATATTCTGTTTAGGGCTATCCAACTGCAGTATTGGAGGTATTTAAACATATGCCATGGCATACCTGAAGATTACGTTTGCTTTTCCTTATATTGTGTTGCAGCAAAAAGTTGTTTTCTATCAAAAATCGGCTAAATTGATCATCAAGCTGCGACAGCAGGTCATGGAATAGCACCGTAGCAAAAGATACGTTGTTGGCTGCATGTTCCCTAGAATAAATTCAAAGTATGCTTGTGTTAAATACTTTCAACCAGCATCCAAAATGCACTACAGAGAATGTTTTATTAATCCCCAGCTCCAGTTGTAATACATGTGAGCAGGAAGAGCTGCTTTCAAACATGTTAGTCTCATTCTCTCACCTTCTGCTTTGCTTTCCTTGATAGAGAACTGTTGCTACTCCTCTGTGCCGCTCTTGCCACATTTTGTGTGACATCACTGACCCATTCCATGCACATCAGGAAGCTGGAAGCGACTCTGTGCATATGCACATTGTACAGTGCTAAATGACACTCCATAGAAATTTTGAAAAACAGTTCTAAGTTGATGAATGGTGAGAGCCAGGGGTGCCAGGGAAACTGATTGCCTTAAAATAGCTGCTTTTGTTTGACATTAGCCAAGGAAAAAAGTAATTGGTGCACTTGTTACTCTAGATGTCAGGACCCCCTATGCAGACTAGATTCCCACCCCTTCTCAAGACTATTAGCTGCACAGCTAACAAAGTGTCCTACCAGCAAAGGTGCCCTTACGTCCCTAGCAGCTTGCTTCCCCGTTACTTTTCTGCCATCTGTCACTCTCCATGTAGCAGAATGTTTATTATCATATAACCCAAATGTCAATTTTATGCTTACCAATCCTGGTTTTCCAGCCACTGTGCCAGGTACTGCCTGATTTCCATCGGAAAGCTGTCATCGTACAGCTGATGAACTTGCTCCAAAAACTTGGAGTCAAGTTGCTGTAACTGGTACCACTGAGTCATCCTGGGAAGCGGGGAATAAAAACAGTGTAAATGTAAATGCTTCAGTTAACATTAGAGCTGGACTGGTGAAAAGTCACTCATTCCAAGTTTTCATTAAAATAGTAAAATTGGAGGTCAGGGTGAAATTGAAGGAAAAGCGTTCTAGCAAACAGAAGTGTGTTCTGTTTTTAAATGAAATGGAACAAACTAACAACCGAAACATCATTCAACTTTTTCTGTGCTGTTTTTAATTATACAAACTGAAAATTAAGACCATCCTTACACTAGTTGCATCAACAGAAGTCAGTCAAAACTCAAACCACTCTTCCCTATGAAAAGTTGGGTTTTTTTGTTTTTTTTTTCCCCCTCTGAACACACAATTTTCACAGCACTGAAAGTATCAGCACTGCTACGGCTTGTAGGGGAGCTGTTAGATCAGGGCTCGAAGTGGTGATGGGGCACCTGGAGAGGGGCTGTGTCTGCCCAGGGAGAACAGATTGTTTGCACCTGTGATCTCCAGCTGACCAGAAGGGGTGGGCTGGGAGAGGAGCCACCCATGGCTGGTATAAAGGCCAGCCACTGAAGGGAGAGCATCTCTCGGACCTGAGCTGCTTCGTGGGGAAGTGCTGTGTTGCCAGAGAGCCCCTTCACCAGCTGGGTGAGTCTGACTCTTTTTCCTGTATGTGACTGTTGGTCTACCTGTGAATGCTTTGCCCGGTACTGTTGAGAACCTGTCAGAAGCAGTTTTGCTTCCTTATATTCAGTCTAGATCTCTCCTCTTTTAGTTTGCTGCCTTTCTCCTCGCCCTGTCACAACAGACCTTGCTAAGAAGCGCGTCCCGTTCCTTCTCGCAGCCCTTCGGAGCCCGCCGGGCTGCTCTCAGGTCGCCCCGGAACCTTCCCCTCCCCTCCCTAGGTCGCACTTTCCTCCCAACTCGCAGACTTCAGGCTAAGGCAGCGCTCTGTGCAGCAGACGCAGGCTGCCTAAAGCTGAGCGACGGGCTGAGCGAAGCCGCGCTGCGCAGCAGCCGCCATCACAGCGCGGCAGCGGGAGCACACGGCCAGTCCAAGGGTCGCAGCTGACCCTGAGGGCGGTGAGATGCAAGCCCACCCGCGCCCTGCTACCGCCCTGCCCCCGTCCATCCCCGCGCTGCCCGCACTCACCCGCTGGCACAGGCCGCCCCGGCACTCCGCTGGCGCCCCTTGCCAGCGCCCAGAAATACCCGCACGGACGCGGCCATGGGGACTCGCCGAGGGGCCAATGGGAGCCCGGCCCACGCCGCCCGGACCAATGGGCGCACGCAGCGCTGCCAGGCGCCCCGCCCCCTGCCCTTCCGCGTGAAGGAGGGGAGGGTCGCAAGGCGGGCTGCCTGTAGAGCCGTACGGGTGTGTGGTGCGCGCGGGTCTCGGGTGTTTGGGAAAGGCTGCGCGGCCTGTGGCGCTAAGGAGAGAGGGGAGCAGTGTGACAGCGCGTGTCAGAACGCGGTGTGTTCGAAAAACAGCGTGTAACGAAGCAGGATACGCGAGATACAAGCGAGGCATGGCCGCTGTTTTCTCAGTCCTGGGCTGGCCCTGCCGGACTCGCTTCCCTCAGCGCTGCCGCCCCGTTTCCAGCCGGCCAGCTGCAGACCACCGTGGCGGCCGCCTGGCCCCCGCGGGGCGCGGCGCAGTGCGCAGGCGCAGTGAGGCTCTTGTGAGGAAGCGCTGCACCACGTGACTTCGGGGAAAGGCTCCCGGCGCCCAGAAAGGGCCGGTTGGCGGGAAGGCGAAACCGAAAGCTTTGGCGCTGTCCCCGCCCCGCCACAATCTGTTTCCGAACTGCGGGCAGCGGAACCTTCCCACAGAGCCGGGGTTGTAAGGACCGCTGTGTTCGGCTAGTACAGCCGTCAGCTCGTCACTATCGTGCCTACTAAACCGTGTCCCTCAGTGCCAGCTCTTCAGCGCCTCCAAAACTGCACTTGAGTGCAGCACAGAGGCATGGTCACCTCCCTGCTCCTCCTGGTTGCGCGATCTTTGTTACAAACCGGGGTGCCATCGACCTTTTTGGCAGATTGAACACACTTGTATTCAGCTGGTTGTCCACTAACACACCAAGATCCTATTCCTCCATGGAGCCTTCCAGCTGCCCTGCCCCAAGCCGATAGCACTGCATGGGGTGTTTGTAGCTGAAATGCAGGATTTTAGCACTTGGGTTTGTTAAAACCTGTTGGTTCAGTCCAGCAATCCAACCTATCCAGGTCCCTCTGCAGGGCCTTCCTACCCTTGGGCAGGTCAAGACTTCCTCCCAGCTTCATGTTACCTGTGAACTTAGTGAGGATGCCCCAGTACTGGCCCCCTGAGGAACTCACTTGTGACCAGCATCACCAGGTTCAACTCCATTCCCTGCTGCTCTGTGGGCCCAGTCCTCCTGTCAGATTTTACCCAGTGAAGAGTACACCTGTCCAGGCCACAGGTTGCTAGCTTCTCCAGGAGAATGCTGTAGGAGACAGTCTACCTAGGCTTCAGCAAAGCCTTTGACACTGGTCAATAGCCTTTTTCTCCACCAGCAGCTGGGTCACTCAATCATAAGAGGAGATGAGGCTGCTCAGGCAGGATCTGCCTGCTGTGAACTCATGCTGGTCTGGTCAGAGCAGCACTTCTGGTTATCCCACACAGATGTGATTCCTCTCAATGTGATCTCTTCTATGGCCTTTCCCAGTTCTGAGGTCAGGCCAACAGGCCTGTAACTTTCTGGATCCTTTTACTGACCCTTCTTGTAGATGGGAGTCACAGTGGCAAGTGTTTACAGTGGAGAAACCTCAGGGTGTTCAGCCCCTGCTGCACAAGCTGCAGGGTGGGTAGGAGTCCTGGCTGGGCCATGGAGAGTAAGGCAGGCATGGAAATCCCCAAGGGTGGCCTTTGCCTCTGCTTCCTGTGCCGTCTGTGTTCAAGAAATACATTGAAAGATTGTACAACCATATCTCTGGCTGTTAATTTATGAACTATAACCCAGATTTCTATCCAACAGACAGAAACTTGCAGGATTGCTTACACACGATAGGCAGTTGAGTGTTTTAATTGTTCCTGGCGTTTGGCCAGCTGAGAGTTTTCATCCCAGTAAATATCTCTTGATATAGAGGTTCCCTCGTCTCGTGTTTCATCTTTATTGCTGACTTGTAAGGACGTGCGGGTTCTTGTTTGTTCCCATCTGCTGTGTGAACGGTCAGTAAAGAATATAAACTTAATGGGGGATGTTTGGGTCCTTTTTGTTTTAGTTTGTGTCTCCCACTCTCCTCAAACAGAGGAAACTTCTTAGCTAATGGAAGATATGTGTAAATAGAAGGTCTGCTGGTAAGCTTTTTGTCTGTAAGCCCTGAGTACTGGTATGAATGTGAGTGCTTTATAAAATAAAACCAATAGGAAAATGGTAATTAATAGATTTTTACATTTAATTTGAAACATTATGGTAGGGCAGGACACAAAGCACAGCACAGTTCTGTTGGGTTCTTTTCCTGTTATTTTTGACTATGCAGCTGCAAAACCCAGTGAAAGCGCAAGCGCAGTTAGTGAAAGTACTGGCGAGCAAATGTCATCTCTTTTAGCAGTGTATGAGAGTGTCCCTTCTTATGTGCTTTTCTCTTTTCTTCACATTTCAGTTTCTTCCTCTGAGCCCTCGTCTTATAAAAGGACAATTTTTATTTTTATTTTTATTTTTATTTTTTTTTTTTGTGAAAGAAGACTTTGTCAGTATATGTTTATTTTAAAGAAAATAACTTTTGTCTCTTCAAAGTGGCAAACAGAGCTGAAGTAGTACGCCTTCCAATTAAACAAAGAAAACTGATACCAAAACCTGATCCGCAATCCTATTCAGCCACACAAGAAAAATAATTGAATTGTGCAGGGAGCAGAAAGGAAAGGGAGGAAGAGTGATTTTTTTTTAAACTGCATTTTTCATGACCTTTAGGTGGGCAGAATTCATCTTATTCGCATTAAGATGGCGAAAACAGGTCAGAAAAAAAAGGATACAGTGTGAGGTGAAGTTTACTTTGTTGCTGTTGAAGTCTTGTGTTGCTGTAGTTTGCACTTGTGCTCAACCAAAAGAAGTGGTCTTGAAGGTCTTTTCTGACATAGGTTATAGGTGATGCATGTCTCTATTTTTATCCTGGAGAATTCCACAAAAATCCAGGTGTCCAACTTTAAGCCAAAAACACTTTTTATTCATACTGGTCGTATAAATTACAGTTGTTTTCAGACATATATACACAATAGTCACTGTTAAGGAAAATAATTTCTACGTGATGCTTCACGAGAAGAAATATGATTCTGCAGCTAGCTTGGAATCACTGAGACTGATCAACTATGGAGATGTTTGGTCATTTAATGTCTGATCTGATATTTCAGCAATGCCCCAAAAGAATTTCTCTCCATTCTAACAGAGATGTTGCTTGCTAACATCAATGGGTGGGGGGGGGGAGTAAAGAAGAGAAATGAAACTGAAATCTAGGTCTGACTGATGCAAGGGGGTTGTTTTCATCCCAGATGTCTGTATTCAGCATCTTCACCTCACGCACTTCCTGAGTAAGTGTGTGTTCAAAGAACTTTGTATGCATTAGCCATTTATTTTGCACACGAGTTAAATCTGAATGACGCTGCATGCGTGAAAGACAATGGCCCTGAAACTGCCATTTTATTATTCTATTAACAGAATGTTGAAAGATAATACTGGGAAAAACAAACAGATGAACTAACATAAATCTATGCCAAAACAAGCAAAATGAAACATTTTTCAAAGGTGGTGTAAAACCAGTTATCCTGCTCATGAAATGAGACTGTGACAGGTGTGTAACCTTGTTACGTATCACTGATTGGCCCATGGACAGAAAATGCTATAGCTCTTGGGTGATTGTTTTTTGAAACTGTTTTCCCAGCCTGCATGTACCAGATAGTATCCCAGCTTTTCCTAGCGTTGCTTTCCTCTCTCTCAGATCTTCTGCTGTGGTGACAGTCTGTGCTCGAGGTAGTTCATCTTGGGAAAAAAATAAACCCTGAATGTAACTGAACTTGGAGGGTGAGAATCTTCACTTTAAAATCGAAGCTAAACTGAGGGTATATAAAGAGATGATTAAGCAAACTATTTAATGTAATAAAAACTGATTTCCTCAAGTACCTTAAAGTCTTTAGTTGTCCTTATATGCTATTATCAGAAGCAAAAAAAAAAAAAAAAAATCTGTTCTTATACTGTTGTATTTACAATTCTATGGTCAGTAATTCCACAGGAAGAAATTCATACCTACTGGACCCCACTTGAATCAAATGACCTGCGAATGGGGATGGATTTGGCCTTTTATCAGTGTGGGCAGCAGTTACAGGTGGTTATGTGTAACCTCTAGGCGGAAAATGTCTGTTTTACGTGGAACTGAAAACAGAAGGAGGCCCAAAAATAGCATCATAATGGTTTCCAGGAAATAATGATTTACAGTGATGGCAGGAAAGATATTTATTATGCTTCTAACCCATGCAGTGTCCACGCAATTGCTTCTTTTTCCAATATGTGAACTTCAGTCAGTTGAGTAAGGAGAACTCAGCTAGAAGGAAAAAAGAGGAAAAGATCAGTCTCAAGGCAGTTACTGCTGCTCATTCAAAAGGAGTTGCACATCAAACCTCAAGGTAGCTGTAGTATCATCTTGACAACTCTTAAAATGTCTTTTCTAGTTCTTTACAAAATCTAGTGCTGCTCTTTGGAAAACAGTGTATGAAAAAGTTCTCAAGAAAAAATTATGTATCTTTTTATGAATTTCTGTGCTTCTTGTAACCTATGGATTTGGACAGAAAAGCTCTTATTGGAATCTTGCTTTTGCAGTGAGCAGAGGAATAGATAAGAGTTGAGCAAGGCTGCTAAGACTGTTACTGAGTAGGACATCCTTTCTGCTGCAGCTTTCACTCTTGTTCTCTGCATTGCACAGTGCTCTTTTACTGACACCTCATAGAGAAAATTTGTTGCTCTAACAATAACAACTTTGCTTACTGTACGTCAGTATGGCACCACCTGCTCACCTGGTGTGTGAATTTGGGAGAATAAACTGTTTTTCCTCCTTTCTCATTTAGCAGGGTAAATAGAATGCAAAATGTAAATCAACAACAAAAACAATGAAACAATCAAACAAAAAATAGAAAACCAAGCCCAAAGAAACAACAAAACAAGAACAAAACCCTTTCAAAACTCTTTTCTCCCCTGATTTCTAGCTGAACTTGAACACGTTCCTAGCAAGAGCCTCCAGCAATCCTCCCACTTAGCACCATGAACCACTTCTCTAGTGCACTTAAAAACTGCAAAATGATTCTATTTGACCCTCCCAAGCTCTGGGCAGAGCTGGCTAAAGAATTATTGCATGTGCTTAAAAAAAAACAAAAAAAAAACCCAAACGAAAAACAACAACAAAAAAAAACAACGGAAAACAAAACAACAAAAAAAAAGGACCCTAAAAATATTTGGAATTCGATGATAGAAGTGAAGCCAACTATTCTTTTCACTGCTAAAACAGGGAAATGTCAGCTAGCATGCGTAGTTCACAAATACAATTTAGAAGGTCAGAACTATTTTCACGTATTGAAACAAACAAGGACGCATTTCATATTAGGTTTGAATGTTCTTGACTCCCTGGCCAGGAAGTAAGACAGCTTCATATCAGACAACGCATCCAAGTATGCTGCAGCATAGGAGTAGGAAATATCTGCACCACTGGTTCAGAATGCAGTAGTGCAAGTGATGGATGAGCTAGGATTTTGGTAATAGTATGAGTGGCCTTTCTGTAACCAGCATCTGTGTTGCATGCGCTGTTTGCCGAGTGTTAACTTATCAGTGGAAAAGTTTACAACGTACAGCAGTTTCGATGGCTGTGGGACTCAGATGTTCTCTCAGCACAGCATAAACGCTTGGAGACATTGGAAGAAGATCTGATGGAGAATGTGGTTCTGTAGAATCATTTAAGCTTTAAAAAAAAGAAGAAAATGATATTAAAAGTAACCGAAATCCCTTCAACTTCATGGAGGACTGCTGTGGGCTACAGTGAATGACTCATGTTGAATGCTTAATTAAGTCAGTTAAGCTTGTATTTGGGCTTGCTGGTGGCCCTGTGAGCATATGCCAACGACTAGGTGTTTAAAAATGCAGGGAATAGGTCTAAAGAAAGACAGAGGTCAAGCCTGACTCTGTAGTCTCAGCTGCTGAAAAAGGGAACATGAAAGATGACCAAAGAACCATTAAGTTTGCATTCAGTTTAGACGAATGTTTTGCCACGTGTATGAGAGAAGCACTCTAGTAAAGTTCTTTGCTTCCCTTTTTTTTTGTTTTTAGCAGTCTTTGACCAAACCAAAACTCAGATATGTTGCTATCCCAAACTATCTCTATAGAGGTAGGAAAAAGTTGGAAACAGTATGTAAACATAATGAAATTCAGAGTAGTACATATGTATGGTTACTCACATTTTGGAGACTGGGATAAATACAGAAGGAACATAACCTTTGACTCCTCCGTCTGAGGGTTTTGAGACTAAAAAAAAATCAATAGTAGAGAAATTAAATACAGCCCATTAATTTTATTATTTGTTTGAAATTGATTATGCTGCAGGCCATAATATCTTAAATGAGAAACAACCGTGATGAAATAAGCAGCCATAGAATCGGGGAATTCCTGAGGTTAGTGTCCAGGTTCAGGTCATAGTCACAGAAATGACTGTTCTTTTCCATTGGAAATACCTACGTCACTGTCTTGAGGTACAGCATAACAGCTGATAGAAGAGATCTTGTTAAGGCTTTGAAGAGAGAGGACTGCGCTAGAACTCCAAAAGCTTTGTACTTCTGAGCCTCTAGATTTCAGCTCTGCAAATGCTTGCATGGAGCCCTGTCTCTATCACAGCTTCAGATATGTCATTTGCTTGAAATTAAATAGGCGCATAATTTTCTAGAGGACTCGAGCATCATTAGGCCAAGTTCACCGAATTAAAATGAAGAAGAAAAGCATATGCTGCCTCAAAGTATCTTTAAGAAGTGTGGGAATTTGAATCCAAATGGCCTTGTATTCTTTTATAAAGAAATGTACATCATTCTGAGCTTATCTAGAAAAATCAGGGATTTGTTTTTTTCTTTTTTATGGGATTGATCTAAAAATGGTTTGACTTGTAACCCAGAGAAGAGCGAGCACGTTTGGAACTAATCTTATCTAGCCTTTTGGAGCTGATTTATCTAGCTGTTTTTTCCAGTGTAGTTACCAGGAGTAACTGCTGCCTCATTGTGAAATGAAAGCAGGCCTTCTAAGCTGTTTGGAAAATACAGAATTCTTTGAAATTGAAGACACAACTTGTTACAGTTTTACCCAATTATGAAGCTGAAGAGCAGGATGACTTTTCATCTCCTTTGAACATCTGAATACTGAATTTTGCAATGTGTTGGTCAGGAAAAAAATCCAATTACTTTGACTCCTTCTAACTCAAGATCTACTTCTTAGCTTCTTTTAAATATTGTTGTTGTAGCCTCTAATGTAACCGCCAAGACCCCGTGGCTCTATTAGTAAAATGAAGCTGTCTGCATGACAGACACACATCAGACATTTCTCATGAAGATGCCAATTAAAGGAGGCATCGTGATCTGTTCCCTTCTTCCTCTCCCCAAATTCCTTGAGTTGCCTCTTGGCCTTGAAGCTGCTTTCCAGAAGGGTTAAGTACAGAAACGGAGCCCAACCTTCATTCGGCTGACAGCTGTAGTGTTTGCCAAAGGCCTTGTCTTTGGGAATGTCTGGGTACAGATACTTCAGAGGGTTTTCAGGAACGTTGTCTGCCATGATAACTTTGTAATCTCGCAGTATGTCAGCAAAGGGCAGCGCAGCTAAGCGGCCTTTGTTGTAGGGTTCCACCGAATGGAATGTTACTTCTCCTGTAGGAACACAAGGGCACGGAGCTTCTGATAGCTGCTAGGTCAACATCTCTACTTGGAATGCTTTTTGTTTTCCTTCTAAGTTTACACTGGTATGGGTTTTACCTTTTGTACCAACATCTTTGAAGGCATTCATCCTCCACACATGGGAACAAATGTAAAGCCTGCATTAAGCAGGTACATCCCCTAATGGACCTATTTATGGTAATATAAAGCACTGAGAGGAAGACTTGCAAAGCTTTCGTTTGTGTTTCTCTCCCCAGACCAATCTAACACTATACACATGAACTTCACTTTTAAACAAAAAACCTCAACAAACTGTGGCTACAATTATACCAAAGGGTTTGAGCTCTATGTTATTATTTTTTTTAATTGCACTTACCATTTTCTAACTGATCCACCCAAGTAAAGGTAATTCCACCCAGATTGCTTTCACTAAACCTTAATAAAAATGTTCCTGGTGTCTTGTCTTTGAGCAAAATTCGTTCCTTCTCTTTGCTTACAAATCCCATTACGTACCTGAAGTGTAATAGGAAATCATGGTTTTACTTTTGCAAAAAATATGGACTTAATTCTGCATTTCTAATAGATTCAGAGGTGTTCCCTTTTTGCAAAGAGTTTGAAAAATCATAAACGGGGAGAAAGAGACAGAAATGTTTGACTCTTTGCAAGTTCTCTTCTGTTTAGCTAGTGAAGAAAAAAAGGGTAAAGCAGAGAGAGGTCAGCGCATGGCCGTTGTTACTTCTTGCTCACCCATCAATCCAAAGAGGAAGAATGTGTTTTTTAATTAAGTCCAGTATAGCTTCAAGCCAAACCCAAAAGGTAAAAGACTTTCCAGGTAAATGTTCCTAATGGGAAATACATGCAGAAGAAGAACATGATGAGAATATTGTTACACCACATCCATGTGATATAACTGTCTCAATTTCTGAAGAGTAATCTAGTGTCTGTTGAAATGACAAATTGGAATTGCTGCTTTCAGTAACATGTCTGCTTAAGCCTAATGCAAAAACTATGATTTTTTTTTTAAAAGATATGCATTGCAACTCCCCTTTTTTAAAGAAAAATTCATGTTCAAAGTTTTTCTCACTACTAAATTATATTTTGAGAATTCAAACTACTTTCAATGTTCTGTGTATCAATATAGCATGACCAAAAAGCATTTACTCTTCTTTTTCAGTGCTGTAATTTCTGATCCAAGTTACTGAATATGTAGACAGACTTGAAATAATTTAGGTCATGACTGAGCATATAGGGAAAACATACTGTATGCTTTATGAAAAACATTCTGTGCATTGATAGCATGATCTATATTGATTATTGGGTAGCACCTGATGACCTTAGATGCCTTTTCCAACCAACATGATTGTATGATTTACAGAAATATATAGGGCATACTTGACTATAATAACTGTTTGTGGTACTTGTATGAATGTAGCTAAATAGATCTCTTAGCCCAAGCTTTAAACTTCAGGAAATACTGTTTTCATGGTGAAGCTTTTAGACTTCATTTGGTTGTGCTGGGCTACAAGACCCACACGAGGCAATTGAGAATCTCATCACTGACATTAGCGGGATGGAGTTAGATGTGTGCTTTTACTTTCAGAACCGTACCTTGCAGAACTTTGCCCAGGAGAGCTGGTAGTCACTGTAACTGACCTGTTGCCCTAAAAGTAAAATAGAAAAATGTGAGTCTGTTTTTCTGAAGTTCTGAAAGAAATATTATTCCACATCCATACAGCTGAAAAATAGCGTAGCCCATCCAAGCTTGGGGAGGCATTGAGAGGGGCTTGCTAAGGGCCGTGTGCAGGGAGAGAGCATGCAGCTGGCAATGAGTTTTGTGTATCTTTCTGAGGCCTGCTGATGGTAGCCTGGGGAATCTTTGCTTAAAGTTGTCTGGGGCCTCGTTGGTGCAACACTGTGCTCAGTTTTAGTTTCAATCTAAGTTTTATTTCTCTTGGCCATCGCTCTGTCTTGAGCTTCCAAGTTTTCAGATGTTTTCTTTTTTTCTCCTATTATGGTTCTAACTGAATAACAGGGGTGTTTTCTACTCCACTATCTAACAAGAAACCACTAGAAAAGGCACCCTTTGCTAAAGAAAACTGGCCCTAGCTTCCCAGCTTTGAAAGCAGTAAGAAGTAAAGATTCTGTCCAGTCTTTGACTGGCACTTTAGTTCTTGCCTGGCAGTAAGAGGTATTGTTACACCCTCAGCTTAGAGTTTCTTGTGGATCACAGTATATTTTATACTAATTTCTTCTCCAGGAACAGGAATGTTTTCTTTTATTCTGCCAGCCTTCTCCTGAGGCCTCTTCCTTCTTGAGGACAGTCAGACTGAAGCATTCTTTTGCTTGTCTCACTGAGCTTCCAGTCATGCAGGGCTTCATTTCTATGTTATTGTGAGTAAAAGATGGATCCCAGGACTAAACATGCCCCAGAGAACGGGTACTTAAAAAAAACAACAAAAAAAACCCAACCAACCAAACAAAAAAACCCAACACATTGCTGTCACCAAAAAGGCCAAAATCCCATAAGCAAGCAAAAAGACTTCCTTTTGATAGCTGATGCTGGAGATAATGACTGCTTGCTAAGGAAACAAAGTAGTGTTGAACGTGACTCTGATGCCCTCTTTCTTTGGCTTAGCAGCCTAGATATTCAGCAATTGAATCACTTTGTGGTAAGAAGAAGCTGAGGTGTGCTTTTCTTTAAAGAAGAACAATGTCACAATGGTATTTTTGAAGTCAAGGGTGGAAGTGAAGGTCATGCTTAAAGTCATTACCTTTGACTATCAAATAAAAGAGCCCCAAAACAAATAAAATCTGTATGTTTCTACAAACTTACCCATAAGTTTCTCTGCCAGCATGTTGAGTTGCTCAGAATTGAGTCCACGGCCAACATAGGATGAAAACTGCCAGCTCAGTACTTCTAAGAGCTGACTTAGAGTGGCAGCAGGGGGATTGTTAAAGAAAGATAAATTCTGCAACAGAATGAATGCTTTATTTAGACTATTAGCAACTATGGAAAACACTCCAGGCTTTAAAAGAAAGCAGCAAGTGCTTAAGCAGAGGTCAGATTTTACAAATAACAACAACAACAACAAAAAAGCAGGGGGTGTGGTGGAATGAGGAGCGGAATGAACTTGGACAAAGATGCCTTGATTCCTCCCTGGTTACTAGCAAACCTATAGGGGGATGCTCCTGGAGAGAGTGGGAGGCTGTATACATCTTGGATGATAAAATACCTTGCTATGCTTCTGATAGTGATGTATGTTAAGGCACTTTATGCCTGTCCAATAAATGCAGATACTGTGTTCTGCAACTTCCAAATGCAGTAACAGCAAACAACTGAATTTAAAATTTGTGCTGTGCCAGCAGGAGACGGGGAAACAATGATTCTGCTTTTGCTCAGCATTAAAGCTACTAGACAGTGCTACCTGGCTCTTGCAGTCGTCTTCGTGTAAAGCACTAGCTCCTCTACAATGAGGGGAAGTAGCATTTAATTACATTATAGACCCAGCCATATATCTACTTCAATAGTTTTGAATTGCACCTGTGGAATTATTTTGTGCTGTGTATGATTTTAATCAACCATGTTCCAGAAAGACAAATTTGACCTGGGAAAGTTGCGAAGAAGGGCCATCACCCTTCCTTAATTTGTAAGCTAATAATTTAGTCTAAAAAATAAAAGCTAAGAGGCATATGGTTTTACATCTGGGCAGGGAACAAAAGATAGAACAAATAACATAGAAATACGATGTTGATAACTGTGTATCTGAGGAAAATAAGGTCTGTTTAAGGGGGAGAAACAGCCTTTTTATAATGAATGTACTTGGCAACCAAATAATAAGAGTGTGAGTATGCAGGATGCCACTATTTGTTTACTGAAGACCTACCTGAGGATCGTTGGTTGATAGGTTGTACCAAATAATAGAAGCCCATGCATTGGGTAACTGGCTGACGTTGGAAATCATCACTACAGGCAAAGAGCTCGTCTGGGGGAAAAAAATGAGCACAGTAGGTAATGACAGCTGTCTGTAAAAACAAAAGACTTGTCTTTTAGCCCTTTCTTGGTCTTCTGCCCCCTCCAAATACTGCTCTTGAGCCTGGGCTCTTCCAGCATAGTAGAGCAAGACCAACTGTTGATAACTGCTGTCCAGCCTGTTTCTAGAGAGAAATGGGCTTTGGGAGCGTGTTCAGGTTTTGGGTTAGCTTGGCCTGGGCAGCAAATTTAGCTTTTTGCTGCATGAAAGTTGTAAAGAAGAATGGCTGCATGACTTTTTGCAGGCAGAAGAGTGAGTCATGGTAGCGTTGGTCACTAAATGGGTTTAAATAGTCTGTTTTAGGTACGCAGGGATGTCCTGAGCATATTGCTTGCAATTGTTGTCGTAACATTCTCCTAACATTCATGATGTTTAGTGGAGGGATGTGCCTTCTAGTGCATATGATTATTTATTTATTTATTTATTTATTTATTTTGTCACTGGCTTAAATGGAGTGTATGGTCTTTAGATCATTTTGGCTTTTGCATAGAAGGGCTAAGAATGTTGCATGAAATCTGTGCAGCCTTCTGTGCAGTTTTGGAAATCTGGCAACTGCTTACTGCTGAAGACAGCATCTAAAATAGATGGGCCTGCAGCCTGGCCCACCAGGCTTGCTCCTTGTGAGTCCCTGGAAAATGCTGTTTGTCTTCACCATAGAAAATCTGTCCAGAATATACTCACTTCCAAATTGATAGTCAGTCCATACAGGCAGACCTGTGTTTCAAAGCTGATGGAGTGCAGCTCTTCAGTCACCATATGAGGGCCCTGAGGGGAAAAAGCAGATAATGAACTGTGAGTGTATGCTTGACGTTTAACATTGCCTGGGCAATCCAGCTGCTAAGGTTACACAACGCTGCAAGAAAACACACATCTCATCTCTAAGCAGAACAGAAAAAGAAGGAAACCCTTTGTTAAACTCCAAACTAATCCAAATCACTGGTGGATATTTTTTCCTTATGATTCTTAAACCGAAACAAAACCAGCAACCCTGGTTTTAAGGCAACGCTTTCTTTACTTTCAACTTGTGTAAAAATGTTGCTTTACAACACGGGGTTTCGCACAAATTTAACAGATTTTCGTGCGTCTGCTATTGTCTCCCACTCTTCCTAAAGTTTCTTCACTGATTGACAGCCCCAGTCTAAACACGGATGTTAAGCTTCAACCAGGAAACAAGCAAGCAGCTCAAAAAAAAGCAGTCACAGGAGCCATGTCCTTAAGCACAAGTAGGCTTCTGTCCTAGAGAACAGTTTTGTATACGCAGAAACTTCTTGACAAACAATCTGTTTGTCGTAGTTGATTAGCTTGTATTACAACATTTTGCTTGGATGACAAACTAGCATAGCTCTATTAACAGCGCTGTAAAATCTCTGCCCCTTGAGAAACATGTCTTTAAAAATAGATATTTCCATCCCCACGAGTCAAAATATAAAAAGCTTTTTGCCATTTTTTCCTGCTTTTTTTTTTTTTCTTTTCCCATCACGTATTTGTTTTGCCAGACTTCTTACAAAACAAAAGCAAGAAGGAAAAGAGGGGAGAGAAGGGAAGATTTGTATTCCTGAATCAAAGTACTTCCACTTTGAGTTAATGTAAATAGAAATGTTCCTTGGGAAAGTGCCTCACAGCCTCCTGTTTCCCCCAGAGCCCCTCCTTCAGGACATGTACAGATGCTGTAACAAAAGGTTCTGTGTACATGTGAGGTTGAGGCTGCAGGAGATCCTCAGGCATCTGAATCACACAGCTGCCTTACAAAGGGAAAATCCAGCTTAGAGCTGCCTGCTTGTAAGTGAAATGCTCATCCATCCACTCAGCTCAAATGTTTCAACACAGGTAGAATCAAGCTGAAAAGGTTTGGGAAACTTCCCTTATCTCTGCCCCATTTTAAGTTTGAAAAACCTGAGATATTTGGAAAAAGAGATCTAAGCCTAAACAAACCAAGATTGCAAATATGCTTCTAGCTGTTGTTAAACGAATGTTTATGCTCCTAAAGGTTCCAGGCGGTGCTTTGACCAAGGAGGAGCCCCGCTGATGGAAATCAGGTGGCGGTGAGCCACGTCACAGCTCGGGCGTCCTAATGCCCCACAGCTCCACATGGTTGGGATGCTGCGGGTGGCTGTTGCTCGGTCTGACGTGTCATACCGCTGTGTCACCGCACGAGGGGGACGCCAGACCAGAATTCAGACGAAAATCAGTCAGGGAATTTGGTCCTGGTTTGGGCATGCCAACTTCTTTTAGTCAAGTACGATCACGCCGTCATGTCAGCTGAGAGCGTGGCCAACAGATCACACATTTCAAGTTGCTGTGCTCGAAGAGCTTGTTTTTTTTTTCAGAAGCTAACAGGGAATGCATGCAGGCATTCAGGTGATTACTTCCTACCATCTTCTGTAGCTATTTAAATACAGAAACTTGAGGCACATAATTGAGGTTTCTGAGTGCTTCTGAAAGGTTCTCACTGTGCTCATACAATCACATGATTGCTGAGTCCAACACTTAAAAGGAGACTATATATTTCAAAATCTAATTTACTTACATATGGTTGCTGTTGGATTTAAATAAAATCCAGCCTGAAATACTTGGGAGAGTAATCAAAACTATCATCTAAAATAAATCCACCAACCTCATTTCCTTTGCTTCCAGCACTTGATTTCATTTCTTTCGGCTGCTGTATAAAGCAAAACAGAATTTATGTGGCAGAGAAACTACAGATGAGTACATAAAGAATGCCAACTGTAGCTGTGATGCCCTTAATGTAATAAGGATTTGTTTTGAATATAGAGATACACTTCAATGAAGGTACTGACTCTGTGCCTTGAGAAGTCCATTCAGTGGCCTTCTGATAAATATTTTCCAACACAACAGTAGTGTAGGTGAGGGAGTCTGCTTTGAAAGCAGGACTAGCTGAGACACTGGAGAAGCTACTGGAACGCTTCTGTTGGCTCTCAAAAAAACTTTTGCCTCAGGCATTGGTTTCAATCAGATCTAAAGCATTCATATGTATTTCACCTGGACTTTTTTTTTTTCTTTTTCTTTTTAATGTTTGTGATTAGTCATTTCCTCTTCTGGCATTAAGTAGGGTTTGTTGTGTAATTTCTGTGGAAATACAGTCTCACTTTATAGCAGTATGGAGTGTGATACAGGTGTTGAGTAAATAATCCTCTAAGGGAGAGGAAAACAAGTGTAGATTTCTTGTTGTAGTTCTCCTTGTGTAGCTTTTAAAGAGTATTTTATTTCCTTGCCAGAGGTGCATGGCAAGAAAAGAGCAGACAAGCTTACCAGGTGTCGGAATTCTACTGACAGGCTGCCATTTGCTGACTCATCCATGTTCATGGCTTTCACGTGTGTTCCACACAGAACGAATCTACGATTGCTACGGAGAACATTACACTTACGCACTCCAGTGAAAACACGTTGGATAGCTGAAGGACTCTCATATTGTATTTCCTTACCTTACTGTTGAAACATTCCTAAAATAGAAGAGGGGTAGAGGAGGAAACAGATGATGAATCAGTAAACGTGAGCTGTGCTTGCTTTGAGTAATGTATCTCGAGACAGTATATTTTCCCTTATCTGTTGAATGTATGTTACTGATTTCATTTATTTTTTCCAAAAATTGCAGTGATATTTCTGATGTGCGGTTATTGTATCTAACTTCTTTTCCCTCTGCTGTTGGAATGACATATGGAAATTGAAAGCTGCTGTGCTAACTGAGTGTGTTGTGAGGTAATAGAGGCCTGTGTAGATAGCTCTTGGCACACTGGTGGTGCACATACACAGCTTCTGAGAGGAAGCTGTCTTCTCTCCTGCTGCTTACTGACCAGGTGTTTGCCTTCCTTCTTTTGGCCCAGCACCTGTGCTCATGCAGTGAGGAGCAGAGTGGTTTGTAGGGAGCTAATAGCAGCATCGTGGCCAGAGCAAGGGAGAGTGGTGGGCAGCGAGGAGTTGGATCAGCTGAACTGATTTTGGAATCATACCTGGTGCTTATTCATGCTAAGGGGCCCTCATCTTTTCGAAACCAAGCTTGCTGTGGGGTCAGGTCTGTTACACTGTACTGAAAAGCATGATCTCGCTAAGAAGACTAGTCAACTCAAACAGATGTACTTGTGCAACAGTGTTGGCTCTGCATCTAGTATATTATAGGCAGGCTCTGAAATGCATTTTGCTCAGGAAATTATAACCAGCAGTAGGAGCTGGGGTTCATTGTTGCTATGAGAAGTAATGGGAGTATAATAGAGTATTGAACCTGTTAGTAAGGAGGAGCTTATGTAACAGCCTTGATGTCAGGCAGGAGTAAAACACTGTAAGCTGCTGTAATTACAGCACCAGCTTTCCAAGCACAAATTGTGTGCAATGCTTGGAACAGCTGCATGGGACTACTGGTACAGGCAGAGAATGCAACAGAGTTTGATTTTAAGTTTCCTGTGATGGCACTGTCTAAGGCTGAATTTTATTTAAGGCTTGAAACAAATGTTAAATGGATGTTTCGTCTCCAATTTCAAAATATCAGTTAAGGGTAGCTTTCTTTTAAAGTACAAAGAGATTTTCCACATTAGAGAGAGTCATTACCCTCATCACCCTGTGTGAAACCCATATGTTTCAACTGTTCATTGGTTTCTTTCCCCCTTTAAGCAAATTCGAAAGCAGATAGGGTAGCTACTGAGAAAGCTGCATGGTCTCTGTAGGAAAAGAGTTGTCTAATATCTTCTCTTTTAAGTTTCTTACTTGTCGATAGTTGCTTTCACTCTGATCTGGTAGTTCAGCTCTGGCAATTTAATTAGCAACCTTCAAAACAGAAAATGTGTAAGTGAACACTCAAAAAACAAAAGCAAACAAACAAAGTATAGCAAACAAATATGTCACCAGAAAAATATTAGAGATCACTAGCTCCACATCACAATATTTGAAATGACTGTAATCTGAAAGCAGATTAATCGTCCAGGACTGCATCAGGATTTGCAGGGTCCTATACATGAAAGGAGGGATAAGTTTATCCAGTGGCAAGTGTTTTATCTTCCCTGCATGTTTGAGGGACTGGGTGGAGAGACAGTGAAAAGATCAGAGATGGATTTGTATATCTAACTGCACTGTACTTTGTGTAAGCTTTCCAGTCCTGCTCCCCCACCTTCTAATGCCTTCTTTTTGCTGCTGGATGGAAATGAGATTCAAGATCCTCTCCGATCTCACCTCATTTTACAAAGTCAAGCAAGGAGCTAGCGGGAGAGAAATAACTTGTCATTGATACACCAATCACACACCTCCCAAGCTGCAGATATTTCTCCTTCTAATGTGCTACGGTGGCTCTGAGTATTCTGATGTTGCCTGGCACGATGTGGATCATTACTTGTTAGCTTGCAAAGCCATTAAACCAAGAATCCAATAAATATAGATTCCTGAAGGTGCTGACTTTTGGCCACAGTCTGCCTGTCTTCCTTCTGCTGTTTGCTCTTCGTTGCCACTTATTACAAGCGACAGGTTCGGTGTCCTTTAGACACCTTTAACTTGAGAAAGCTCCCTGGAGTCAAAAGGGTCTCTGCCTGACTCTGACACAGAAGTTGTAATACTTGACTTTACTCTAGGAGACCATTTCAGGATCCATAAAGTGCAGCATACGAAGGGAGGAATTGATATCAGGCTTTTCTTACCTTAATTTTACAGTGAACTGTATTAACGTTTTAAGAACCATTGGCCTCTGGGGGTGTGTTGGCATACAGGGCTGCCTTTCGACCACAAATGAACTAGGGTAAAAAGAAATGAAACAAGTAGATTGATAGGAATATGCATAAATAAACATACAGTAAGCTATATTATCTATTTCTTTGAAACTTACTTCTCTACAGATGCTGAGAAGTGGGAGATTTGCATTTCCACTCTCAGTTCTCTAAATGATCTAGGGGTCTGACTTACACTTGAATTGTTCCCGTAAGAAACAGATATCTGTTATACCTTTAAAATCAAACCAAAATCAAATTCTATAGGATTAAAATGTCAATTGAATGATCTAGCCTTTTATCGGAACCATAAATCAAGCTATAAAAGTCCACTGAACCTGGTTCCAGTGAAATTAAGTAATTGTTTTTTCCCTTATTTTATAAAAAAGCAATAAACCATGTTTTGCTTGCAGACACAGCTAATAGAATAGCTACTTGTGGTCTGTCTCCTTGTATAGCTGGTACGAAAGAGAAGACAAATTATGAAAATGTTATATATGAATAGCTGGATGAATTTGAGAGGGGAGACTACTTTGGTGGGGAGGAGAAAAGAGAAGGATCTGCCGCTTCACTACACAAAATTCTCAGCAATACGTAGGTGATTGAAATAAGTGGGTTTTGGCGTTCACATAGAGTCAGAAGTTGACCACAAAACCTTAAGTGCTGTACATGAGAAGCTCTCTGGTACCTTCACCTTCTCTGCTTTTTGATGACAGCCGAACATACTCCTTCCTTTGGAAACTCAGTCTTTAAGATCCTTGCAGACTCAGCCTTTTTTTTTTTTTTTTTTTTTTTTTTCATTCTTCACAGTTAGGTTTTATTGTAACCAATAAATGTGTGTCAGTTCAAGTAAAGCAACATGAATTCACAATAGCTTACGTACTTGCGGAAGAGGTTGTAGAGCAGGAAATTGACTTTTTCCAGTAGCTGAGGTCTTTGCACTGGGATGGGATCCCCATCATATGTCAGTCTGGTCAACAGCTCATCCAGTTTTTCCAGTTGCCTTCTAACTTGAAAAAGACTCTCTGCCAACAGCGTAAAACTACAGAGAGACAACAGATTACCTTGTAATCTCTCATGTAAGCCATTAATAGAACATAACACCTACTGAAGTTCTTGCTTGGGGAAATTGGATTCTGTGCATTATGGTGCTTTCAAGCTTTATACACAATTTTGCTCATTCATCTTTTGTTTACAGCTGTATATATATACATCATTCAAGATTTCCCACTTTACTTTCAAAGGTAAATATCTCCCCGAAGGCCTCATCAACAATAGTGCAAGAGTGACTGTGATAGTTTAGAGGAAATGCATCACTGTCTTGATGTTTTACACACAGGGCACTGCTGCTAGTTTTATTTCTTGCCTACAGCTTAGTAGTTTTTCCAAGTTACTCATAGAAAAGATAACGGTTATATGAATTGGACGTGCTACCAAGACTAACAAAATTCTTTTCTTCAGATTTCATAAACTATGTCTATGTTTGGTTATTCTCCCTCCAGTTTTTTTCTTACTATTTACCTTTTCCAAAATAGTAGTTAGATGGGAGAGAAACTGATGCTCTCTAGAGGTGTTATTATTGTTTTTTTAAACTAAAGTTATTATTATTTTTTTTTTCTTTTCTTTTTTCTTTTAAGCCTGGTTCTATTACCACCATGATGCAGACTTCGGTCATTCAATTCTGGGTAGCTTTAAGCCTTGAGCAGTGATGTACCAGCGAGTCAGAGCATAAAGTATCTACCCAGCTCCTGCTGAGACAAAACTCCCACTGTCCTCAGTGACAAGCTCAGTCAGCACAGCTCTTACTCAAGCAGAGCTCCCTGGGGTATGTGTATCATATATCTGCAACTACCATCAAACCAAAAAATGACCGACTGCAGTGGCTCAGGCTCAGTGCTTTACTGTAATGTCATTCATTCTACCAGCAAATTCTACCGTTTTATCTACCAAAGCAAAGTGCATTTTTAGTTATTTACTTGCATAGCTGCTCATGAATTTTCTGCTGTTGCAAGGTAGCAAGGGCAACCGATCTAAAGGAATTATCATTTTGTGTGCATGGGGCTTGCAGACTTCCTGTGGTTTTCAGTGGAAACATAAGCTCAGTGCAGGTTTACCAGTTTTGGAGCTGATCGAGCCCCCCGTGGAGGGGACCCCCGATGCAGGCAATCTGCTGCCGTCTCTTCCAGTCCAGCAGTTCCTCGGTCAGCATGTTGCTCATGAGCATATCAATTTCGTGGATGACACGGCCTATTTTACTTAGTACTTCCTGTAACATGGGATAGCTGTCACAGACTGGCCACAGGGAACGGCTACAACATTCAGCCATTATCACAAAGTGCTCATTACATTTTTTGTAAGATTTTGAAAACGTCTGTATTTAGTCCCACCACTTTTGTCTCTTTAGCCCAGAGGTGACTGGATTACTCACCATGTAAAGCTAATCCTGAATATCAATCAGCTCTTCCTCGGTAAAAATTTCTCTTTAGAGGTTGGGAGGGGAGGTTGTATTCATAGTGGGCATAACACCTCCAAGCAGTTGATATTTAGAAGCACTGTCAAGGTCATAAAATCCTTCTTCTGTTTTGCATCATGTCCAATTCACAGGTTTTTTTTTGTTTGTATGTTTGACTTGCTTTAAACAGTAGAAGGTATGTGTGTCTGAACACAAGGCTTTCTGTACTGGTAAAGGAATGGTCAAGAAGTGCTCGTAGTCACATGTCTCTCTTGCTAAACAGAGCTAGGTAGTATCTGTGCGTTTGTTTGGTTCTGCAATTACTAGATCACATTTACTTGGGATAACTTTTATTTACTGTAAAAGCTCTAGACTGCCAACTAAGCTATCCATCCAGTGCAGTGCAGAAGTCCTCCTGCCTAAGGTGAGCGGAATCATAGTCCTAATTAAGCTTCTGCTTAATTGCTGTTTTCTTAACTGCTCACCAAGATTACCCACACAAACACAAAGCCTTTGATGTATTGATAACTCACATGCTGTTTGCCTGCTCTTCCAGGAGGAGAGAATTCACGAAGGCACAAGTAGCATTGGAGTATTCGGTGTGGGAATAAAGGGAGAAAGCAAATGACTCACAGCTGACAAAGGATGTCACTAACCTTTCTCTTGTAGTCTAACGTATTGAGCATCGCCTGCAACGCCAACATTTCCTGTTTAATGAGGGCGCTGTTTTTGTCGCTCTGCTCTGCCAGGGGTGAAAAAATCGCTCGGTTAATTCGGTACAGATGTGGGCGTGGGGGTTTGTGCGCGTGTTTATGGGAGATGTGGGGGGGAACCACAACCTGACTGCAGGAGGAACTAGGGAGAAAAATAAACTGCAGGCATCAGCAGATTACATAATGGCACATTTCCCTTGAATAGGCCCATTTGCATACAAACTTAAGCTATGGTTTTATGATGCCGTTCTTGAAATGTGTGCATGCGTTTGGAACAGGAAAAAGGTAGAAAAGGCATGGCTCATAAATAGAAATCTCTATATTTCTTATGTGCATAGTGATATATACATCTGGCTTGGATCAATGACTGATCTGTGTACAATTGACACATGCTCGTGGTGTCAGCATGTAAAGCTCTTTGGGCTCCAAGTGAATTACGTGTCTGGTTGACATGCATCAAGGTTATGCGTTTGAAACAGATGAAATGTCCATCACCATGGGGATTTTAGCAGCCACGAGTACCGAACGCTGGTACTTCCCCCTTTCTGTAATTTTTTTCCTTCCCTGGATCATGCATTAGCTTCAAGCTTCCCCAAGCTCACCACATATGCACTCATACTCGGCTCATCCCCCATCTTTTGCACTTGTGTCACTCATGCTACCTTCACAAAAGAAATTGGTGCCAACTGTGTCTCTGCTGAGCTGTGGATTGACATCTCATTACATCAGAGTATGTACTTTGAGAGAGGGAAATGGGTACTCGACTCTCTGCTCAGCCACCGCAGTTGCTCACATAGACGTTTTAAAGTACTTCAAGCTGGTGTGCAGCAGTTGTTGGCAAAGTGAAATTGTAAGCCCCGAAAGTCATCTATGTAAGCATGTTTGATTTCAGAAGTGGGGCAGGCTTCAATCATCTGCTTGATCAATAATTGTGTTTCACCTGATGACCAACACCTAGTTAAACCACAGTAATTTGATCTCTTCCAATTGTCTGGCCATATCCAGCCTTAAACATGCAAGTTATGTGTTTAAGAACCCGGGCATTTCAAACCCCAGCTGTCTCCGCATGTTCAAAGGGAGGTACCAGGAAGGTATCTGAGCAGACACGAGTGGACCTCAATTTCTTTTCTCAAAGAGATCGTGCAAGTGCTGTTGCAGTGTGCAGATCTCAACCATTGTAGGTCAAATGTGCATGCAGAGTGCTTACCAGTTGATTATCATCACTGTGGTCAAAAAAGAACAGACAGCCAAGTTAGAGGCTAAAACAGTACTCTGGGAAATAAGAAGCTCTTCCACATTGTGCCAAGGAAGGGCCAAGTCAACCAGAAGGAAAGGGAAAAATAAGTTCTTTAAATTAAGAAAGTTATGCTTTTCTCATTGTGTTGTGCCCCTTATCTATAGAAAATAACTGCACTTGAACAATGAGATCACGTTTGCCCTTTTAACCCCGTGAGAGTCATTGTGTCTCAGACTATGGCTTTATACAAACTAAAAATTGATTTTTATGCTTACATATATTATCTCAATAATGCATAGAAAAAAACTGAGGCTGGATTTTAGTTGTGTAATCACTTTTTTCCTAGAGAATCTAAAAACGATTACAAGAGCACTTACCTAAACTTTGTATTGTTTTATACCTGAAGTCAAATTCTTCTTGCAAGTCTTCCAAGTATTTGACATCTTGGTCAGTCATCTTTCCCAGGGGAGAGGAAAGCGAGAAATTACTTTGGTGTTCACAGTGGCATAAAAAGGAACTTACTTTGTAATGGATAAAGGCATAACATAGCATTCTCCTTTCCTACCATCTGAACATGTAAAATGTTATACCAATAACTTAACTGACGTTGTATAGCCTTAAAGCAAGTGGATAATTTTGCAAAGCCAGAAAGGTTTGAGCAGCAAAGAGAACAGCAGGGTTCAGGGACTTTATTTTTTAGAGGAATACTTAGCAATTTTGGTAAAGGAATGACGCAGCTTTACTGCTTTGGCTTTTTGCAAGGGTTAGTTTTCATACCTACAGCAAAAAGTTTAGAATGTGTTGTGTCTGTACAACATACAAAGATAATTCAAAAAAGACGTATCAAGAGAAGGAAAATAAATCTGTAGGAAATAATCTGGTTTGCTTCCAAAGTCTTTTTCTGTGCTGTTTATAGGAAGCCAACGACTCATGAACAATGCTTTTTAGTTGCCTGAGATATGCAAGTTCAGTGTCTGGGAAAATAAAAGTGTTTGTTTGCTAAATTAGGACACACAAAGTTAATAATTCTGTTTTCTTTTTTTTTTTTGAGCTTTTAAATTACGTGTGCAAGGTATGAAATTATGTACACAAGGAGCTGCCTGATTTCTGTGTTCAATTTAATTACCTATTAAAAAACCCTTGTACCTGGAAATTATTCTCATTTTCCCTGGTCTTTCAGGGGTGGCTGCACTTTCCCTCATAGATGCTTGCTAGACACAGGCTGGAGGAGCAGCGTGGTTGGCTGCTGAGTTGCAGATCTGGCTGTTGTTGCTTTGCAGCTCTTATCTGTAACATTGATAGAGATCTAGTACCACAACTTCTAAAGCTAGCTTTATCCTTTTAAGGGTTTCATCTCTTTACCTTTCTTCTCTGTGTAGAGAGGCGCTTATGAGAGAATGCTAGTAGGACCTCTTTCCAGTATGCCTGAAGTGTTGTTCGTGGACAGCATATGGACAGGTATTTCTAATATAATTTCTACATCAAATCTGCTATGAAGCTAGAAGAGGTGCTGGGATCCTAAAAAGGCTACAGGTGATCTGAATCCTTATCATGCCTTGAAATGAACAGGCAGTTATTCTGTGAACTTTTGCAGCCTGTTATACAAGACATAGCTATAGGGCTCAGTCCTAATCTACTCTGCAGTGGTATGACAAGCTTCTGGAGAATTGTTACCATCAGCGTACAGCGTTCCTTTCCCCTCATGCTTCCAAAATGTATAATTATGTCATGTAGTCTTTGGCTTTACAGAAATCTTGGTACACATGTGACTCAAAGGTCAGGAAGTCTAGATACTTCTGACCAACTGAAGGAGATGGAATTGCAGAAGTACCTTTATTGAACGTCACATCTATTTAGAAGTAGTAGGAGTGTTCTTACTGCACTCAGTGATCCACTTGTAACTTGCATAGCAATGAGCGTGAGAGCTTTAAACTAGGTAACTCTTGCACTTAACCCAAAGTTGCTGCAAAAACTTGTCTGAGAATCCATGTGCATATTGAGCAGTTAACTTGGGCTGGGATCTGGAGAATAGTGGGATAATGGAATAATGGAGCGACACAAGGTGTTGGTGCTACCTGGCTTAACAATAGATGTGTCTATGAAATTCATAGCTCGTGGCTGTGCAGATAGGAAACAGGACAACAGAATACCTGGGCACTGTTCTTAATGGCTGACACTTTGTGTTCCACGTTTCTTTGTCTCTCTGAAACCACGGAGTTCTGCAAAGACTTTTCCAGTGGTCCCTGGAACACATTGAGCAGGTAATGCTTGGATAAGTAACGCCAAATGTTATTAATGATATGGCAAGTTCTAGCACAGACAGGGAATTCATAACCAATGTTCTACTGGCTGAGGACTGGTGTGAACAGCTCAATCTGTTTAGCTCTGCAGATCTCAAAAGCGTAATTCTTTAACTTGGAAATCCAAAAGGTGAAAGGGCTTGGGTGTACAGCAGATATTAAATGTCTAGTAAATTAAAGGACCTGAAACATAGATGATTAGATTTCTAAAAAAAAAAGACCAGTATCACAGTACTCATATAAAAACACGTATTGCATCTGCAGGTTATTAAAAGAACAAAGTTGCCTTGAATAATATTCTATCTGGGTTTTAACCATATAACCATTTCCACAAAACGGTCGTAAATGTGATTTTAAAATTTCTTCCTTCAAGTAACGTAAAAACAATCAGTGTAACATATAAGATGGAATGTCTTTTGTGTTGCATAATTCATATGAATTAGCGCAATGCATAATTTAATATGTACACATCTGTTTTGCAAAGAATAATCTCTTTAAAGTCTTTCCCACAGATTAAAGTCTTTGAAGATTAGCTGTGACATCGAAGTCACTTATAGCAATGTTTGCGGCAGCAGAGCCACTAATGAAGTACAAACATGAGTTTAAAGGGTAACATTTGGCAACCCCCCAGTGCACATAAATCACTCTAGTGGAATTCGTAATGGAGGACAGGATTTGGTCCTAAAAGCACGTGGGCAGATTAACATGGTGTAAATTAGGGAAATGTAATTCATTACCTGCACGGGCATGCTGGCTGCAGCCAATATTCTTCTTTCTTCTCTTAAGCAGTTTGAGATGATCACTGCTATGTGCATGGGATTACCATGGTATTTCCCCTGCAAACACAAATAAACAGAACTTTTAAAAATTGAGAATTCAGGATTTCCCACTGGAAATCACAAACAATGTGGTTTCACTGTCTCTGAGCTACAGCTTTGTGTGGGTGAAAAAGACTCTCCCGATGTTCTTGAACTTTGCTAGTGTTCCTTCAGCTTTACAGTGCAGCATCAGATAGTGCCACGGTCATAAAATACTCTTGGAAGTATCCTACAGAGAATATAAAGATGTAACTCTGAGATGCACATAATTTGATGATCAAATTGTTCCACTGCTATTTGATAGAGGGTTCCTGTCCGTCTTTTCTATGCATGTTTTTATCATGTTTTCCATTTTGAATAGGATGTTGCTGTTAGCATGGAACATATCAGCCAAGAAAAGACTAAAGGCATACCAGCATAGTAATGATGCAGTCAGAAAGGCATCCTCAGCAGAAAGCAGAAGACTTAATTTTAGTCTATGAACAATTTATCTCCTTCAACAAATAAGGAAGGAAGCAGCAGCAGAGCTTTGGTCCAAGTCAAAGAGTTAAAATTTTGACTATTTTTTACACCATCTTAAGGAAGGTGCAGAATTGCTGATGTTTGGCAGATAAATGGGTGCCATGTGAAAAATATCGGTTTGTGCTGTATTTATCAAATAGGAAAGCCTGATAACTCAAGCAGCATCTTTCACGGTGGTGTATTTGTTCAGTGTTTCTCAATAGCCTTCGTGCCTTTTATTCAGGACTCATTTCTCTTTCAGTCAGATGCCCTTCATTCAGTGTTCATGTACTCTTTTTTCATTAGAATTAATCCAATTCTTTTCTCTTCCTGTACAATTTCCCCTTTTAGACTTGTTCCTTTTTCCTTCTCTTCTTGATGAGTTTTCAGTCAGGTTTATTCTTGCTTTCTGTCGTTCTGACTTGATAGGTTTATGTATACTTAAACCAATGCTGTATTTTACCTAGTTATCTCATACCAATTTCTCCACTAGAAACCCAGTATGCAAACACAGCTGATAGAAATATGAGCACACTTTCTGAGCACATATCTATTGCTGTGATAGCAGGCCTATGTTTCTAGCAATTTTCACTAGATAGAACCAGACAACCCAGGTGCTTTTGCATGATTTCATGATGTGTTTTGACTTCCATTGCAAGGTAAAAGAATATTGCACAAAAATGCTAATTTTAATTGCAGAGACTTCAAGCTGCTCAGTGTTAAATACCACACTTGGCTATGGTCTCATTCCAGGTAGAGATGAGGTGATAGACACAGGACTCTTACAGCTAAATGAGTGATGTACAAAGTGTCCCTTCTAGGGCAGCTTTGACTGTCATGGCACTGTTGGCAATGAAAGTAAGCTTTGTGATGTTTCTGGGGTTTTTGAAGTCATCCCAGGAGAGTGATGAATAAAGTACTTGTCCCACGTGGCCATCAGTGTACACCCAAAGTAGTCTGAGGGCTGTGCCTTCTTTGGTTTGTCAAAAAGCAGTTCAGGATGGTAGAAAACCAGTTAGGTAATTAATTCTCTGCAGTTATTGGCACTGAGGGATTTTCTACCCCTCAATGGGCTGAAACTATGGAGCAAAGCATGAGTTGATTGTTAAGGATGAGGATGTGCTTAGTCAGGAGCATTTGGCTGGTTTCAGCTACAGCAGCTTGCATTGCTAAGCCTCGTTTGTTAGCACCTTGACTTGAGAAAAAAGCCTTTTTTTGTAACGAGGCTTGGGATGAGAGTTGTGGTGAGAAATCTGTAACCGGTGTAAATCCACTGATACATGTATTTATCAGTTGGTCTGATGACTTAAGTGTTGCTGTTATTTTTTTGCTGATAAAACAGTGTTCTGCCTTCCTCATAGATGGCTAATACATGAGGAGCTTAATATGCAATGGTATCTCTGCAGACTAACTGAAGTGAGGAGTGTTTATTTCCAGCTAACTGGACATAATAATAAAAATAAATAAATAATAATAATTAATAAATAATTGTCTAACAGAATTTGGTAAAATTTGATAACACCTAGAAAATGTTTTAATATAAAGACATAATCCTGCAAGGGAGGTCTTTTGGGTTCCTGAGGAACTTCTGGATGCAGAAGCCTGGACACCAGTGTTGGGTTGCAGTGTGGAGTTCCAAAGAGTGTGACAGAACTGTGTTACTCTAGGCTGAGCCTGTGATTCTATTTGAAGCTTTGAGCGTAAGGAGGGAAACTTGAAAAATCAAAACTGGCTGCAGAGATCAGTAATGAAATTTTCCCCCAAACAATCCCCATGGAGACCCTGAGGATCCTTTTGTCTTCGCTGTGTAACAAGAAAGATTCAAACAGAGCCTGTAACTAAATCAAAATGAAATAGAAATCTCTTGGAGCTGGAGGACACACCTACACAGAAAAGGCTTTCTAAAGCCTCTTGACATTGGGATGTTTTAAAATCCCCCACAGATAAATGCCAGGTATCAGGGACTTTCCTAGCATTTCTAGATACCGTTCATATGCAAAACATGTAAAAGCTCTCTCTCTTTCAGTAAGGGAAAACCATCTGAATCAGGAGTTGAAGTGGAAATTAACTACTTTTTTCCTTTTTCTAACTCAGACAGCCCTAGTAATCAGTTGTGCCTGTAACGTTTCTCTTCGGCCTGCCTTGTTCGATTCTGCTTGATTCGTTTTGCTCTTCCAGCAGGCACAGAGCAGACCGACAGAGAGCTGTCAGGGCTGTAGCTCCCCTCCAACTGAAGGCTGGAATGATGCTTTGCAGCTGCTATGGTCTGAATCTTGTGACCAAAGGAGGGCAGTGGGCCTTTCTGGCACACAAATGAAAGCACACAGCGAGCTGTGGCACGAGCAGAGCACTGTGCCACAGCCTGTCACCTAGAACTATGGTATTTGTGCAATGTGAACAGAATCATAGGATCACCAAGGTTGGAAAAGGCCTCTAAGTTCATCCAGTCCAACCATCCACCTACCACAGTATTTCCCACTAACCCATGTCCCTCAGTACAACACCTCCAAGGATGGTGACTCCATCACCTCCCTGGGCAACCTATTCCAGTGCCCCACTTCTTCTGCAGTACTTCTAGCAGATGGTTGTAACTTAAAGATAAGAAATTGATATGAGTGAACAAATTATAACATATCTTAAGAGTTACAACTTATTCAATGACTACAATTACTAAAATTAACAATAGCTAATGTTTTTGACTGTCAAAATAATCACTGACTTTTCTTTTTTTCTCCCCATGTTTTATACTTCTCAAAGGAAATTATACTTCAAACTGTGCCAGCCAGTATTATCAGTTCACTGTAAGCTTTCACTCTTCTGCGCTTCCATTTTGTCTTTGATTCAGGGTGGAATTTGCTCAAGCTTGGCTTCCAAATGACAACCTGGAAATGATTTCTTATTACTGAAGAAGTGGTACAAGTTGGGAAATAAAGGAAAGCTAACCAAAGAAAGCAAGCTTGAGCTGGTGCAACAAAAGCATTGGCAGCTGGGAAAGGATAAGGGATGTCAATTCTGCAGTTATGTAAGACTGTGTTATTAATGTACTTATGTGTGTGTATATATATATATATAGAGAGAGAGAGAGAGGAAAACTTAGAATCATCTTTTTATAAATACCAACTAAGGGAAGCTGGTTGTTCACTTTTCATCTGAAGTTTCAAAAGGAAATGTTATTCATATCTGCTACTATAGCAGCGATTCCATTGGTCTTAGAAATTTTCTTTTTCCTCTCTTCTGTTTTGGAGAGGTCTTGTGTGCCATGGTTTAGAACAAACAACAATCGGTCTTACTTGGAGAATTTTACTCTCAATAAGTACCACCATGACGATAAATTTTAAAAAATAGGAAGTAAAACTTTCATTCTGAACAGATAAACATTTTCTCTGAATGCTGATGACGTTTTCTGGGGAGAAATCCCTCCTACCACTGCCCAGAATGCACTGTCTGCACCTCAGAGGCATCTGTTGTGAAAGTGTCTTACCAAATTATGAAGAGAAACAAAAAGGCATTTCTGCATCAAGGATGTATCCATTATAGTGTGCATTCAAACATGTTAGGCAAATTTTAAAACAGCCTGAGTTGTCTGGGATGTTTTCAGTGGCTGGGGAGATGCAGGACTCTGATTCCCTAAGTTATAAGATCATGGAGAAACTTTAAAATACATGTTACGGAACTGCAAAGTACAAGTGCTGGTACAAAGAGCTGTCAGTTTTAGTGTTGGAAATGTACTGCTTTTCCTGGGAAGAATTAAGAAATCTATACCAGAGGCTGGCTCTCTTGCTTACTCTGCTTTCCCCACCCCCACATCTAATAATTTTCCCCCAACAATGTTGTGTAATTTCCCCTGGGTATCTCCATCACAAATAGGATCACTCCCAACCGCAGTGATATTGACAGCTTTCCTTTTCATGTGTCAGAGTTCTCTATACCATGCATGTCTATAAATGAGCACTTCCTTATATGCACTACAGAATATCCTGACTCTGTTTTCTGTGTTTCAGTGATGTGATTAGAAGGGTTTGGCTGTTGCTTACTACCTCTAGCGTACAAGGATGGTGTTTAACCTTTAAAAAACCCAAACTTTTACCTGCTTTTCAAGGTGACCTTAAAATGGCTTGAGTAGGTTTTAGTGCTTTCTAATTCTGAAAAAGTGCTTTTTTTTTTACTGTAAAAACCATCAGTGCTAGCTATTTTCTGTTGGTTCTGCTTGGAAAACCCAACTGTATGCCTTTTAGGTGTGTGCAATAAAATCTTTATTGGCAGCATGGAACTGTTAACTATGACAACTACTGATGTGTTGACGTTGAGTGAATATTTGATGGAAGGGAGCTGGGACACAGACAGGGAACAGCATTACAATGTCAAGAAAGAACATGTTGCCTTCCTTGTTGCTTTCTTGTGACACCCTCATTCTACCAAGCTGGATATTCAGCATCCTTCTAGATAAGCAAGTATCTCATCTTCCATGTAATGAAAACAAAACAAAACAATTGTCATTTTTGCCTTGATTTATTGTCCCTGTTTGTGCAGGCAGGCAGAACACCTATCTCAGTGTACTGCAAGGACTGACTCTTCCTTGGTGAAGAGTATTCGATTTGTTTGGTTGTTTTTCTTTTTAATCCTGTATCTCAGCGGGTTCTATTCTTACTAAAATTCTTTTTCTACAAAAAGATGGCTCTGTTCTATTTAGGTCTTTAAGAGGAAGTACTTGTGACTGCTCTTCTAAGATTCTTATTTTTAGATTTCCCCTCCCGCTTTCAAAATACCTAGGAGAACCTTAAAGGCAGACTCATTCTTTTAGACAACTCCTCCGAATGTGGGAAGCCCTAAAATACAACCCTGCAGTGTTGTGTTTCTGCTTTACTCATATGGTACAGTACGTAACTTCCAGAAGAGCGTAAACATTCTTGGGAGCACCTGCCACCAGAGCAGAGTTGGGATAAGCTGTGAAGGCAGAGGTCTTTTATTCCATACTCTGGTTTGCCCCTAAATTCCACTGATTTCCTCTCAAACACAAACAAGAAAGAGCCAAGGAGTGGTCTATAGGAGCAGTAGGCTTCCCAGGCAGATCTCTGTCTGCAGCTGGGCCCTTAGAACAAGCAAGGAGTGCAAAAGGTTTTGTTTATTTTCTTGATTTTTAAACATCTGTGCATAAACTAACTCTTATGCATTCTACAAGAACAAACTGAAATGTTTGTAAATTGTTACAGCGGCGTTCCTGAAATAAAGACTAGTAACTTAAAAGCATTTTACTTCTAGGAAGAATCTTTTTGCAGCCATGCATTGGAATCCTTTGTTAAAAAAACCTCATTAGCTGCCATGCAGTTGCTAGTCTGAAATCACTGATGGCAGAGGGTTGGCTGGTTAACATTTAGTCTGCAGATTGTGTTCAAGGTTCCCCAGTTGCACGCTAAATTATTTTGTGAACAGCTTTAATGATTAAGCTCGAAAACATGCTGGTGGCAGGACGCTAATGTAAAAAGGCAGTTTGGATGGTATTAGATAAAATTCATTGCTTTGTTGATGTATCAGGTCGCATGAGCACTAGACACATTAAATAACATTTTACATGTTGGGTTTTTTGTTGTTTTTTTTTTTCCTGTGGTGTGTTACAAACTTTCTCTATGTTCCATTCTCACCCCATTCTTAGCTTTAACAGGAAACTGCAACCTAAACACCAATGGCTACATTTCCATTCTTTGCAACTGTTTCTCAGTATAGTGCTTATTAGAAATATTTGTTAAGTACTAATTGGAATATCTAATGCTTTTTTTTTTTTTTTTTTTTTTTGGTCAGTTTTTTTTGATGGTCCAAAACAAATAACATTAGGATATTAGGATCCCTCATCCTTCTCCTTTCTGGTACGGAAACTTGTGTTAACAGTTACCTGAACTGAAATAAACATCTTTATACATTCATTTTAGTTGTTTTCTGAAGATGCTCAAAGATGTTTGGTTCTCATTACAGATGGAAACAAGCCACGCAGTATGACTGACAAACTGAAGCCGAAGCGAGAACACACTGCCACATCCCTGTTGTAACAGCGTGGAAAACAAGATGCTGTTTGTGCTACTTAGAATTAGGGTAAGTTTAATACGGAATGAGATGCCATAAGGTTAACGTGCTTTGGTTAAGAGGACAGAAGGTAGATTAAGATGCTGTTGCCGATAATTTCATAAAAATGTAGTGCTGTGTAGATGGAAGAAGTATAACTAAACTATTATTTCCCAGCTCCACAGTTTAAATCTGTTTCCAACAGCTCATTTTGGTACAATTGTCGTGAATCAGCAGATCTGGTGAATCCTTGATCTCTCTCTTTGCAAGGATTCCCCAGGCTGCTGAAGGTGTGCATACAGTTGTGGTTACCCAGGCCTGCCTTCACCTCATCTCAGGCTCTAGCAGGGCTGGGGAGCGTGTGCAGATCACAGATACCTGAGAATGTGCTGTGGCTGTTAAATAAATGTCATGAATATACTTCTTTGATAGCAAAATGTTCCCCAGAGCACAACATACCCTCATTAACTCAGGCTTCAATGGTAAATGAGAGAAGTAGCCATTCTTCCTGTCCCTGAAATCAGTTATTTCACTTTTATAAGAGATTTATATAATCTGATTTTCCCCTGAATATCATAAACAGTTTTGTGACACAGATGCATGTTGCTCTTAATGAGAAGGGATTGCTTTCAAGAGTTATCATGAGACTAGAGCATAAAGATGAGCTGTGATTATGAGTGGGATGATTCTGGGAATTCCTGCTTTTTTCCTGGTGTTGTTGTCGCATGCCCATTGCACTGCACAGCCCATCTCTGTCTCTGAATTATCGAATCATTAAGGTTGGAGAAAACCACTAAAGTCATCCAGTCCAACTATCAACCCATCACCACAATGGCCACTGAACCATGTCCCTCATTGTCACATCTACACAGTTCTTGAAAACCTCCAGGGATGGTGCAGCTCTCTGGGCAGGCTGTTCCAGTGCATGACCACTCTTTCTGAGAAGAAATTTTTTGTAATACCCAACCTGTACCTCCCCTGGCACCACTTGAGGCCATTCCCTCTCATCCTGTCACTTTTACTTTGGAGAAGAGGCTGACCCCCACCTCACCACAACCTCCTCCTTGTAGAGAGTGATAAGGTCTCCCCTGAGCCTCCTCTTCTCCAGACTGAACAATCCCAGCTCCCTCAGCTGCTCCTCAGAAGCTGTACTCCGAACCCTTCACCAACTTCCTTGCCCTTCTCTGAATGCATTCTGGGTCTTCCATGTCTTTTTTGTATTGAGAGGCCCAAAACTGAACAAAGAACTCAAAGTGCTGCCTTACCAGAGCTGAGTACAGGGGGATGATCACCTCCCTTTTCCTAATGGCTACACTACTTCTGTTACAAGCCAGGATGCCATTGGCCTTCTTGGGACCTGGGCACGCTGCTGGCAAAGTTTCTGGTAGCTCAGGCAGCCAAACCAAGCCAAATTTCCAGCTCTGGTAAGGGAAGAAGCAAGGGCACAAGGATATCTAAGATGAAAAATCCCTAGATAACTCAGACTGTTCCTACAAGGGCAGGTGGGGCATGAGCAGAGCCACGTCTGTCTTAGATTCTCAGTCTGCTGGCAGCCCTGCAGGATCTCTGCAGCCATGCTGCTCTTACCAATCAAGGATTTTAGCCTGTGAGCGAGAGACGTGGGCGGCTTCTGTCCTAAACAAGCAATTTTGCCAGTCTCTATTGTGCACCAAATCTATTTGCATGTTTTGAAGAAGCTTCCTTCAGGGACAGGTACAGTTATTTACAAGAAATTCTTCAGAAAGCCAGGATATAATTGTTTATGGGCTAAGGTCTTGCAGACTGTTGCATTTGAAATTTGGTTCCTAGAAATGATAGGCAGCTCTTCGGAGCTTAACATCTGCCCTTTACATTCTGCTGTCATAGCAACAGCACAAACCATGTCCTTGTGACTAATCTGCTTTGCTTTTCTCTATCTAGGCTTTAAAGAGGAGAAAGAGTCATAGGCAGAGCTTCCTCCCTCCAAACATATTCTCTCCTCATCCCTTTATAGAGCTGCTGCTCACAGGAGCAGGGCTTCTGTAGGAGGAGGGACATAGAATTTAACCTTAGCAAGCAGCTGTGCTCTGCTGTCATCCGCTGAAAAGCATCGCAACAAAAGGCCAATCTGTTGTAAAAATGAATCCAATTTACTGGCTAGAGGAGTAATAGTAATGTAAGAATACAAGGGGCTTTAACCTAAAGCACTGATCCTTTTTAAAAAAATACATGCATTTTTACCAGTTTAATGTCAAGATGTAACATTTTGAAAGAGCAAGAAATGGATAGAGAAGCAAATTACTGAGAGTTAACAGCTTAGCTAAGTTGCTTTCAAGTACTTACAACTTTTTCACATTGTACATTTCTGGTCAACATTTCTTTTTGCATCAAGGTAATTCTGGAAATTTCAGTAGTCTGAGCAGAAATGTCATGCTCCATTATTATTTCTGTGGTGGTAGAAGAATAGGGGTGGTCTCTGTGACCTAAAAACAAGGGTGCTAGGATGTCTTTCTGCTAGCAGTTCTGGTCTTCGCTTTTCACAGCTCCTGAGATTGATAATAGCTTTATATTGCAAATGTCAGGCAGGCAAGGTCTCGCTCCTTCCCCTACTTCCTTCCTTAATCCCATGGAATAACCAAGATGTCTGCATACAGATACGTCAGGTGAAGCACAGAACTTTTTCTCTTCCTGATAATAAAAAGGAATCAGAGTGGAAGCTTTCAAACGGAGAGTGCTCGGCTGCCATTGGAAACTAGTAGGCATAACAGCATGAGGAATCTTGAGCCTGTGCTGCCTGGGAAGCAGCTGCACAAGCCATTTGTAAAGTGGCTATTGCTTCCCCTTCTAAGGCTGGCCATCACAAATGACTTAATTGTATTACTAATTAAGCAGTAGTCCCACACTTTGTCTTTTGTCCAGATTTGCAGACTGTGCTATGAGTGTTCCGTATTTATAATTATTTTATTGTTGTCACTGTAGTATTTAGGGACCTATACCACAGCTCAGCTTTGTATTCTGTATGTTGGTTTCCAGCACTATCTAGCTTGACAAGCCATATATAATTGGCTCAAAATAGTAAACAAACAATGCATTCAGGTCACATATTGAGGTTGAATATCTCTGTGTGTCTACGGGTGTCTGCACATCTGTGTGTGGTATAAGAGGAGGGAAGGAAGAGGAGTGAACTGTGAAATTTCAAAGAAGTTCTTGTTCTAGAGAGCAAACAGAAAGGTGGGATTGTGGTGTAACTAACCTTCAGAGAAAACTAAACCAAGACTGTTCATACAGTCACCAGGAATGAAAAGATGTTTACCAATGTAGCTTCCACTATTTATTCAGGAAGCCAGCCAAAGTCAGTGAACAGTCTCTAGTTTTGCAACATGCCCTTTCTCTCACTAGCATTTCAGGACAAAAGGATTTGTGGCAATGCACTATATGCTTCAGTCACCTTGTCTGGTATTATCTCATGAAGCAGTCACAAACCAGCTCAAGCTATCAGAGTTTTGTATCTGCAAGTGCACCAGCTTTGGGTGGGGAGTCAAATACTTTCAAACTTCTTGGATACATTCAAAAAAAAAATCAGGTGCACCTACAAAGAACACACACTGCATACTTTGGCTGAGGAAGCAATTATCATTTATGTTCAAGAAATTGGAATGTAGTGTTTTAAACAACAGTACAGAATACATGTGATATAGATTTAGTAAGAGCCTTGTTCTACTCCAAGCTACAGAAATTATTTTGGAAATAATAATGAGGCTGTGAATTATAGAGTTAAAGGTTATAAGAAACCAGGAAAAGCTCTAATAGTGAAAGTGTGCTGTTTAGTGTCTGGTGGTTTGCATGTGTATTTTGAAACTGAATGAGTGGCTTTTAATCTAAATAGACGTTATTTGTTGTCTTGATAGAACAGAGAAAGGTCAACTTATTAGTAATAGAGCTGTTGTGTTTTTTGTTCGACTGGAAATATTTTACTGCAAACCCCAAGACGAAAGTCCTTTTTAATAAGCAGTGCAATTCCAGCATCTCTGGTGTTCCCTCAGGAGTTCTGTGTTGCTTTAGACTGTCAACCTGCAAACCTTTGTGGAGCAGAGAGTTCATTGGTTGAGGAAGCTTGCTAAGCCAGGGTCTGCAGGACTTGGTTTTCACTCTGGCCGTGTTCACACCAGCTGCTAGGTCAACTACTGCGTATGCACCCCAGGCTGATGCCTCATCTCGGTGCCCTGAATTTCACAGAGGACACAGAATGGCCAACTCAAGTTAGCCAACTCAAGTTTAGGATAAAATAAATGGCGTGAGGAAAAGAAGGAGCAATGAGAGTCTTTACTTTGGTAGAGCCTGTAAGTACATACATACAATCCATGTACATATGCATGTTGTGGTGGTGGAATCAGAAATGTACAACCTGTTGAGCCAGGAATACAACTGCTTTCTTCAGTGCTCTTTGTACATGTATGCTTCTGTGAGGGAACACCTAAGGTGGTGGAGCTCTGGCTCAACCCTACTGTGGCAAAGTATCCGAGTGAACATGAAGGAGATCACACCAATGACCTTTCAGCTGTCCATTCCAAAAGCAGTTAAGTTGTTTGAGCAGTGCTGAAATAAGGGTTAGTGCTGCTACACAAACCATAAAACAAACAAAGCAATAGAAAAAGAGCTTTGATTTCAAGTTATACACATAACTTGTTGCATAACACTGGAAGGAAAAGTGATAGCGGCATTGCTTTTTTAAGAGGGCCACCATGACAGACATAGAATAGAAAGACATGCAGCCACAGTGATACCAAAATAATTGACACGGTAGTATGAAGCTTTTCCAGATCAATAAATTCATATAAAATAAAGAAAACATTTTGTAAATGATACAGTTTTCACTAAAGTACTTATGGAAAACACCATCAAAGGAGAGAAAAATCCCCAAACTTTTGTTAAACTCAGATGTGTATCTATTTTATGCAGAAGACAAATAGATGTCAGGAAGTAGGTGACTAATGAAGTGGAACTCTGAGAATTCTTGCCTTAAATAAACAATTACTAGAGGAACATTCAACCAATCAAAGTAAATATCACTTTTCAGAAGCCTAAAGGAAAATCCTTTAAGCAATTCATAACAAGTAATCACAGCTAAGAACAAAATAGCAAATGCGGTTCCTTTTTCAGGGTGCTGTTTTGCTAAGGCCAAAATGCACGTTGTTTTCCCAAAGACTGTCACAGCTAATCATATTTAAACGTGTGTGTGTCTGGAAAGTTGGTAATCATGCTTGTAACAAACATTAACTTCTATAAGCACTGTATCAACCTATTTTTAAGGGCTGAGTGAGACGCAGATATGCACTGAGCCAAGAGGTCACAGCATCGTTGCATCTCAGTGACGTGAATTAAAAATGTGTATTATTTTTCCACATGGTTACTGATAGCCTCTTATTGGAGGCTTTTGTTCTTCCCATAGCTGCCTGGAAAGGGGAATAGGGAAGCTCTGAGCTGTCCACAGGAACAAGCTGTGTTAGCAGAGGTCAGGCATTGCCCTTACAAGCCGGGCAGAGTGTGCAATTGGTTATCTGGAATAACAACATACCTGAAGCAGCTTTCTGATTCTTTTTAGGTTGTGTATCAAGAGAAGGTTCTTCTCTTGTGAAACTCGGTCTAGCTGCTCATCCACTTGGATTAGGAGGTTCTGTAAAAGGATGGTTGCCATTGCTTCGTTGTTGGATGCAGCCTCCCTTGAGAACAGATGAATGAGAAACACACATTTTTAAAATGTCATGAGAAGTGCCAAACTATCTGCACAGAAATTTATAATCCATTGAGAAATAAAAGCAGTAAGAAGCTCGATTTCAATGTATCATGTAGAGCTATGTAAATAATTGACTTTATGATCCCTGAATTTGTATTCACCAGGCTATGGACTCATCCAGAGGGGAGACAATCAGAGATTTCCAGTCTCAGTTTCCGTGAATATTTAAACATTTTTAGCCCACTCCCTGAAGGAAATGAGGCTTATGCACAGTGTGAGCCAGAGTCTCTCTCCCTCTGTCAGTCACACAGACATAATTTCTCAAGTTGCTGCCCACTTTCAGCCAAAGTTGACAGTGGGCTCAAAGTCCAAAAAACACTGTATCTGTACAAATTTCCCAGAAAACTGGCAGGTTGTTAGAGGAGAGGAATCCAAATTAGTGTCTCCACTGAAGAAAATGGCAGTAATAACTTGCTCCAGGAGGCAACAGCCAGATGGCCAGTCAGCAGATATATATCTTCACACCAGGCACCAGATGAGCCTTTGCCCAGCCAAACTATATGGGGATACGAGAAGACTCTGAAGCTACTGGTGAAGGGTATGTAGGGGACAAAGGATGTGAATAACATGGAAACAGGCTTTACTAGTTCTGCTATTTATGGAACAGCTTGTTACATGAAGGGCAGTAACATTAGTGAGCAGGGTAGAGGAAGGTAGTCTTCTGACTGGATGGCCTTGTCCTAAGGTTACTCTCTCCTTGTTCCCCAAATGGTAGATTCCTGTTTGAGATATACCTGCTAAATTTGGCAAAAAGAGATTTTAATGATTTCCATGTTTCCACAGCCTCACTGCATGCTAAAACTTTCAAGGAAAACTGTCATATTAATTAGCTGATTTTTTTTTTTTTTTTCAATAGTTCTCCGATAGAATTGTGGATTTAGCTTCCCAAATTGAGATGTCTCTTCCTGCTGCTATTAGTACAAACATTTTTTGGTACTTAGTTCTGAATTTTCTTGAGATAACTATTGATTGAATTTGATCTAAATTTCTGTATTTACCTTCTAGAAGAAGGTAATTCCTGCAAATTGCTGGTTTGTTCCCCAGAATTCTATGTCCAACTTTAAATATGATTTGGACAAGAGGAATAATTATGTGCTACAGGAAGTAAAGGGATAACACTTCCATTGAAAACTGGCTTGCATTATGTTTTTCTGTGAAAAACTTAGTGCCATTATTTTCACACGATCATAGAACTACCGAGGTTGGAAAAGATCTCTGAGATCATCCAGTCTGACCATTCACCTATCACCAACATTTCCTACTAAACCATGTCCTGCAATACAACATCTTTTTGTTCTTAGATTGTTTAATTGGATTAAGTTCAAATAAGAACTCCCCTTCAGATGTTCCTTGAATTTGAAGTTATAAGGACTAGAAATCTGTGCTCTAAGAGAAAGGATCCAAGCTAGAAATGTTATAATTGAATATTATATTTATATTTAACTTTAAATATGGTGCTTTTCAGTAAAACCATTATTTCAAAACATGCAATTGCAATTTTCAACAATATTCCTTTGTATTTCACATAATATGTGGCAGTTTATTAGAAAAAAGCACAGTAATTAATTTATTCTGTTGATGTATGCATGACCATTGTATATAAAATAGGTTCAATGGAAATTGTTATTTAATAAGCTGAAAATAATGTTGCAGCTTTAACAGGACTTTAGTGACACTGAATCTCTTAAATAGATGAAGTGTAATGCTAATTCACAGGATAAATCCATAAATAGCAGAATACTATTCTTGGAATGTAGATGCCTGCACAGTTCACAAATGAGTACCCTAAAATCTGACAGATAAGGTAAAAACTGCTCATGATGGAAATTTTAAGAGAGGGAACAAATGTATTCCTTACCAGTCTTGGCTTTCTATCCATTGTGCCAGCAGATGCCGGATTTCCATGGGAAAGTTGTCATCATAGAACTGGTCAACTTGTTCTAAAAACTTTATTTCCAGTTGTTGAACTTGACTCCATTGGGACATGCTGCAAAAGAAATAATTAAACTTGTCTGCCATTGAAAATAGCAATGTATTAGTAATAGAAAGTGTACAAAACATTTTCTTCATAGTTCTTTTTCTTTTTTAATTACATATTTTAATATTCCTGGCTAGTCTCTGCCTTTAAAAATGAGTGTTACTTGGCTGAAGTTGGCCAGTTAAAAGGAAGAGGGAGAAAAGCAAGTAAGACAACTAGATGTTTTAGCTCTTACACCTCTGCCAGCTTTCTTCCTTAATGCATATGTTTTGATGATTATGAAGCAGGGAGATTTGTGCAGCATCTCTTACTAGAGAAGTAGTTCAGGATTGTATATTTCAAATCCAGCCTAAACTGTTCTTATGAAATAGTAGTAAAAACAAAGAATTTGCTTATAACAATGAATTCATACCATTTTATGTTGTTGTGTTGTTGCTAGAGCCCCATGTCTTCTGTTTGGAGATGACTGCTTACTTAAGAATGTAAATTATAGATCTAGTATATCTTTTCCATTTTAACTTGGCATAGAATTCTGAGATTTGGTGTTAAAAAAAGAAAAAAAACTTGGGAAGGGTATAGCCATATGAAAACCAAAAGACATGCAACAGTGGGGTCACCCAGTCACAGGCTCTGGAATTCTTGGCTGGGCGATCCACCCCAATTAACTTTTGACTCTGTACTGACAGTTACAGATTTTAGGTGGGTTGACTTGTGTTTAAACAGACACTGCTTTTTGTGGAATGAAGAGATGACTTTGGGTGAGCAGACTCTCAAAGCAGACACTTCAGTGACTCCTTTTCTACTTGGGCAATCTTTCTGACATCTGTACTCTAAGGTTGCACCACATCATCATTAATCCCACTCATGAAAACATTTTCATTGTGATTTTTTTTTTTTTTTTGGCACAGAAAAGCATATTCAAAGGTGAAGTAGAATAAGCTCATATTAAAAAGAGCAAAAATTGATTTGCTGCTTTAGCCCCGCAGTATATTAAAAAAGCCTGAAGGTTGCTCTGAAGGGTCCCATTGGATTGTGCCACTGCTCCTACCCACACTTCCACGTCTTTCCAATGCTATCACATCTCCTATATTGCACTGAAAGGTGCACTGAGATAAACTGACATACTTCTGTATTGCACTGAGAGATAAACATTGCCTCAAGGCAGACTTTGCTGGGTTGTGATTCTAGCTGTGTCATCCTCAGAAAAAGTCAGCAGTAGCTTTGGGAACAGGCCGTTATGGATAAGTAGGTAAGGGGCACCCTGGGGACCTTCCAGCTTGGTCCTCCTGTGAGCTCTGCCCACGGCTTTGTCCTTTACCAGGGGTTGTCTGCTCGTCATTGCCTTTGTTCACTCTAACAAACTATGTACAATACAAAGCCATGGATTAAAGATTGCACTGCAGGAGGGACAACATGGTGTTTTTGGACATTTTTGATAGAATTTTTCCTTGAAAATTAAAAAGATGAGGTTTCATCAAAATTGGCATTTTTATAAAAAGCTGACCTTTTATAAAAAGCTTTTCCATTTCCAACTCTGAATCATAGTTTCATAATGTCAACATTTCAAAAGAGAGAATATATATTTTTGGAGCAATATATAGGAACATTTTCCTATCTCTGTTGCTACACTGGTAATTACAAAGAAATCACAGGCCTTATTTCTTGAGATACCTACCAAAACCAAACGGTAATGTAATAATACCTCATGTTGAGAAAATAAGATTTGTAAGCCTGCTTGCTTTCAGAGAGAAATTTTATTGCAGCTTCTGGCAAACTGTTGTGGTTGTGATACCCACCAAGTCTTAAAAACTTTGTGTTTTTATAGAAATTAAAAAAAAAATAAAAATGATGCTGCAACCTCTTTGGACTTCTAAGTGATGTGCAGGGGTGCTGGTGTGCCCCAGAGCTTGCAAAGGGCTGGTCTGGTCTGTACCCAGGGTTCTGGAAACACGTTCAATGCAATACATCCTGCTGCAGGTTTTCCTTTTCCTGGGAGTTGTGCTAAAAGTTTAAAAGCTCAGGACACCTGTAATTTATATTGGATCTCCCCTGAAAGCTTGTTGCAGAAATGTACCGCATTTGAAAATTAGCATCAAGCTACAGCAAATGAAATACTGACAATGCAACTTGTCTCACTTTTTATGTTGTGAGGTGCTCATTCAGATACTTTTGGTTCTGTCTGCAGTTACGACCTGTGCTACCGCCACAACATTCCCTACAGTCCCCTCTGGCAGAGAAACCTCCCCTGATGGAACGGCCCAGTGGTGCAGGAGCAGTGGGGAGCCTCAGGACCATGAGGCCCCCAAGTCCAGGTAAGATACTTCTCCCCTCCCCCCTACAACCCCCAAGGCACCCTGAAGGCTCCAGATGGATGGACAGATGGACAGACAGACGGACAGACAGAAAGAGCCCTCTGACTTGCCTGTGCAAGAGGTCCCTGAGCTGCTGGCGGTGTCCCCAGGCGCGGCTGCCGTCTGCCCCACGCTTTATGCTGCCCCAGCTCTGTCCCGGTGGCTTTTCCTGTGCGTCAGCTGTGCCCTCACCGCCCCGGGGAGTGGAATGGGGCCGTGTCACAGTTTAAAAACATCACAAGCAGCACAACTCTTAGTGGCTGCCTTATTGCTTTGTTTTTGGTGACGAGGCGCGTACAGAGCAGACAGCGGAGAAAGGTGAAACGTTGGCTCTTGGATAAGAAATGGCCAGAAGGAGGTTGTTTATCAAAAAAACCCCCAAAACATCAATCAGTTCTTCAGTCTGTAATGTGGCACTGTGGCCTGTGCAAAGGGCTTCTCCCTCTCTCCAGGGATGCACAGGGCCAGTGCCTCTCCTGCACGTGGACCCCGCTCGCTGCCTTTTGTGACCCACACTACTGAAGGGCTCGGGGCTGTCCCGAGAGCTGCTCAGCAGCAGAACGTAACCACACCACACGCTGTGACTTCCTGCAGCAGCTACGGGTGTTTTGTTTCAGGCAGTGCCTGAGATGCAGGAGCTCCGCTCTGAGATAAAAGTCTCGTTCCCTGCCCCAAAGAGTTAACAGTCCGACATCTTCCTTATCATCATAAAGGCTATGATAGTGGGAATGCTCCAAGTACTTTTTTTCCCTAAAAGAAGTTCATTTATTGAAAAAGGATCAGCGTAGTGTTGTCTGCAATACTGCTAAAGCCAAAGTAAATGGAAAGTGCTACATTATGATAGTTTCACATCCACCTGACCTTGTGGGGCAGAGCTCGAGTGGTGGGATCGAGGCTCTGGCAGTGGACCAAGCAGCTGCAACCCATGCTAAATGGGATCCTTTCGGGCAATTCAGGTTTTGTGGGTTATATTGTGCATTACCAGAACCCCCAGTCATACGCAGGGCTTCTCTGTTTCAAGCTGTAGGAACAGCAAAGGGAAGCTGTGCTCACATGCTGCCCGTGAGCTGACGGAGTGGTTCTGCACTCTGTGCTGGGAGCAATAGGAAGCCTTGCTGAAGTGAGAGAGCCAGGTGCAGGAGTGTGGTTAAAAGGAAGGTGCTTGTCACTAGTGATGTGTAATTACATTTTCCAGATGGCACAGAGAGAGAATTGAAAGTGATGTGAGAATCTCTGATACATAGGTAACTTCTAGATCTGCTGGTGGATGTCATCTTCACTGTCTGTGTGCTTGAAATGAGATTTGACATTTACTTTAATAGCATTTAGCATTTTTTTTTTTTTTTTCAGGTGCATTTGTAATCTGAGAGCCAGGATCATAACAGATCTCTGCAAAATCCCCGCTTATTGAATCAAGTGGTCTAGTGCATGCTTCAGTAACCTCTGTATTTATCTGTTATTCTTTTATGCTGTACTGCTGCATGTTTACTCGTTATGTTTTACAAGTGAGGTCAGGCTGTAATGTCCTGAAGGATTTTCTTCAGCCTTTTGTTCTTGTAAAATAACCAGTGTACAAAGTCACGTTAGTTTTCCAGAGCAGAAGTGGAAGCTATGGATGCAGAGCCAGCTGCTGCTGCCACCGACGACCAGATGCACATGTCGTACCCAACTACATTTTGGCTCCCGTAAGTGGCTGTTCTTGGTTCTGATTTGACTTGGCTGTCATTGGCTCAAAGAGGCAATACTAGAGCAGGAAGAATGTTTTCAATGCCCTTTGTCAGGGGTTGGGGATAAGTTTGAAAGTCACACTCCCTCTTTGTCTGCAGAGGTCAGGCCCTAAACTCAGATGAATTTTGGCAAGAGCCTGCTCAGGCCTGCCGTGTGTCCTTAAGACTCTGGCACTCACATGAGGAGATACAACCGCACTTCACCCATGGTCCTGTTTTATTTTTTTGCTGACGGATATCCCACCAGTTCATTCAGAACACCACACATTCAGTAATCCTTTTTTCTGTGGGACTGCATACTGCCCTTTTGAGTACATGTGATCTCAAGGATCTGCTGGAGTTTTCTTGGATTTGGTTCTCTTCCATTAGGCAAATCATTGCCAAAGCAGCTGATTTTCAGGTGGTTTGCTGTGTACCAGTAGGCTCAGGTAGCAGTGATGCTGGGACGCTGGATTAGCAGTTTGAAGACCACCTAATAAATAACATTTATTAGCAATTTAATTTCATGCTGTCAGTAGGGGGAACTATTGCACTGCACTTTTTCTTTGGCTTCTAAATAAATATTGATAACTACCTGTCTTTTCTTTTAGATTAAGTGCTCATTCTCTAAGCATCCTTTCACATCTGATATCCATAATGATAAGAGGATGGGTAGATCACACCATCCCAGTAAAATAACATAATAACAGGGTTCCTTTTTGCTTGCTCTCTCTCCCCTAACCTTTAAAACAAGGTCTGTGCGGGAGCGGCTGTTGTTAAGGAGATGTTGTTCTTTCAGTATCTATTCAGGTTTGCTTCAAACCTGAAGAAGGAGCTCAGGGTATTCCCCAGGATAACTGAAGGCCATTCCTTGCCTGAGGGTCAGAGCTCAGTGCCCAAACAGGTGGTTGCTTCTTCCTCCTGATGCAGGGAGGGCAGCTAATGACCAGGGTGGGAACAGCTGTGCAGACCATGGCACAGACTGTCATGGAGGCAGGAGGTTCTCTCAGCGAGGGGATGCTGTAGAGGGGTGTGGGGACCTCTGAAGCCTCGCAGAACTCATTGGATGTGGTGGTGGGAAGTGTGCTTTGTCTGAAGAAGAGGAATAAAAAGGTTTGTGGTCACCCACTGGATCCAGGGGTTTGAAGCATGGCTGAGAGCAAAAAGGGAAGGTATGGAGGTCTGAGCTGCTGGGGGAGTGCAGGTGGCAGGTAAGGGTGGGAAGCACAGAGCACTGACAGGGTGCAGGAACTGATGGCTGTGAAGAGGACTGGGGTTACAAAGGCTGAAGCAAGGGGCCAGGAGGAAGTTAAAGCATATGTGGAACAGGTTACTGCAGGTAGCGGAGAAGAGAAACTGAAGGTGCTTAAGTAGTCAGAGCTGAGCAAAAGGTGGCTTTAGGGCTTTTGCAGGGAGCTGAAATGCTTCTTGAGAGACATGGGAAGAGGAGCGGGAACACAAGCAGAGCTAGCTGAGCAGTGACTGGATCTCTATGCTCTGGGAAGAAGGGTCAGTGGAGTATGTTTGCACACTGTGGAGGATGTGACAATGCTTGGAGATGTAAGGAGAACTGCTACAGAGTGGGGAAATGAGAAGAAAGAGATGGCCTGGGTCAGCCCAATGGGGCTCTGGAGGAGAGTGTGTGGTAGGCAGGATGCTGGAGGTGCTGGCTAGAGGCAAGCAGTGAGTGCTGCTAACACCTGGAAGAGGCCAGGAGCTCCAGAAACACCTGCATGACAGGAGAAGCTGAGGAATGGGCAGTTCTGACTCCCCTTGGCAAGAAAGTTCAGCAGGGCACGAGGCAAGGCAAAACAGGCTGAAATGGTGCTTGTGAAGTAGAGGACAATGAAGGAAAGAGCTTGGGGCAGCCCTTGGGTGGAAGGGAATTTCTGAAACTGCACAGTAAAGGGCACAGGGTGCAGCCCTGGGGTGGAGGTGCAGAGGAACGTGAGGGAAAACAGGCCACAGAGGTTGGAGCCCTTGTTGAGTTTGATAGGTCAAATTTAATCTGTGCTGTGAAACATTTTGTTCTGCTTCATCAGTGCATAGCTCCAGTAAAAGCAGGTGAATAAGAAGCAAATGGCTGAATTATGTAGGCTACTTAAAGGGAAGAAAAAGTCTCAAATAATGGAGAAGGAGTTTTGGACACAGTAATCTTCTAATCAAAAGTTCACAAAGTTGTTTCTAGGAATATAGAGCCAATATATTACTTTGATCAATGTGACCAACCTGTAATCAAGATTATCATCTCTTGTGTTTGGCCTCTGGTCATTCTACTCCCTGACTAACCCTTAATTAGAGTATGTCTCATCTATCTTTTACATAAGGGAGACATTTAGCTTGAGCATGCTCTACATGCACTATGTCTTGTGTCTAAGCCGTTCATAGTTTTTCTTCTTGTATTCAAAACAAGGACTTCTGGACTCAGTGAGACTTGTAAACACTGTAATCATGAGAAATTGTCTTGCTGGCAGTGTAGTTCCTCCGAGTCAGCACAGCATAAATCAGCAGTCGTGCGTGCAGGTCACATCCACTACTGTCCTCTATTTGGAAAAAAAGACAGGAACAGTGATGTCCTGAAGTTGCATGTTCTAACAAGCTGTTTATGAGTGCTAGAAAGATCTCTTGGCTCTGCATTTGTGTGTAGCTAAAATACTGATTGTTATGCTCAGAAATAAATGGCTTTGTTTGTTTATTTAGTTGTTCTCAAATGCTGAAAAAATATTTTCCTTCTTCCAGTAATGATAAGTTGTACGTGCAAGTGTATAAATCTGCTTGAAATTAGTATACATACCTCACTCAAATCCAAGACGATACCAGCTAGAAAAAAAAATAACACATCACGTAGATCTCTCTAGCACATCTCTCTTACACCATTTAAAGCACATGCCACTTGGGGTCCTGCAGTAACCACACAAGTCCTCATGTTGATGAAAAATGATCTGAAAGGCCTTGATTCCACCTGGATGTCAGTCTGCTATTGTTTAGACTGACGTCTAAACAATGCCCTTTAGACCAAAGGGCAGCTGTGGAGAAAGGCTGGAAAGAGGCATGGAAAGAAGTGACGGCAGACAAGGTAGTTTAGAAGAGCAAGGGGAAAGGAATGAACTCATGGTGTCTTTTACTGTTTTATAGTGTAAATGAAACCGTCTTTTGATAAAGAAAAATTGTGTATGTGGAGTTTCATGAATCTACTTTGCTTAACATCCCCCTTATGCTAAGTATTTTTTCAGCAATTTCCATCCTTTGATATGTATGAACTCTTAAACTCTTCCACCTCCTAAAAGCTCTTATGTACGTTCAGCTTTTGCTTTTCCTGAATGAATTTGGAGTCAGGTTTCCTTTTGTGTTTTGAGTTATGTAGATTTTGTGGAATTCTAGCAGCACTGTGTTAGTAGACTTTTCAGTTTAGTGCAGACTGGATTCTCAGGAAGCTTTTTTTTTTTTACTTGATACAAGCCTCCTCGTCCATTGGTAATGATCCTTTTTATTTGCATGGCAACTGAAAACTTTGTGATTACTGTTTTCCAAAGCACAGTGTGAGAAAGAAATACCAAATCAATGTGACTTTGACAATAGTGTTTCTGTATATATATTCCTGTGGAGTGTAACCTGGAGGGCAAAAAGAGGAATCTCTTGGTGATGCAACTTGATTAGTATGGAAGTCAGCACTGACTGGATGACAGAAAAGAGAATTTCTCATAGTAATCTCGCTTGGGACTCACACTGTCAATAGTTACTTAAATTCTTACTGTTTTCTATACCTGGAGTTGGGATGACTATGCGTAATGGTAATTTCTCAGGATACTTATGAATATTTTTGTTTCTCAGTCTCTAAGGACCTTAGGGGAGTCCTTGAGCTTTATTAAACTTGCTAGTCTATGCTGATTGCAGAAAGCAATTTGATGCTGAACAATGGCTTCCAAATAAAAAGATCGATAGTTTTAGAATTAGAAATGGATCAAACTCTGAGAAGATAACTTGGTTAATTAATTTAATAAAGTCTTTTCACAAAGGGAGCAATTAAACCAAAGTTTGATTATCTCTACTTGATAACGTTTGAAATATTCCGTATTAAAATTAAGGGTTTTAACTCTGGTGGCAGTAAAATAACCTCTTGATTTATGCTACTCCCTGAAACTGCTTATCTATTTATGCTGTTTATATAAGACACACTCCTTCAGAATTATATGCTTATATATAACACACTCCTTCAGAATTTGTCCTTTTTTTTTTTTTTTTTTTCCCTTGGCTAGGCTATAAGGAAAAAAAAACACCAACAAAACAAATTGAAAGCAGTTGTACAGTTGACCTTAATTGTATTGCTGGATATCACAAGAAGAATGGCAATCGTGCCTGTTATGGACTTATTGTCTTCCTTCTAGGCTGTCTGAAAGCAGTGTTTGCTTTGATCCTTGTATTCATTTCAAGCCTTCTGTAAGAAATTGCTGGGGCTCAATTTTTCTCTTATAGATCTGTTCTGTTCCTGGATCTCATTCCCTTAGCACACTGCTGGTACAGGCCCTTGCCATGAGAAGGTTAGTTGCAAATTGTGGTGTCCCTCACTTAGTGCAGTTCACGTGGTGGTGGGAGGGAGAAGAGAGATGGATGAGCATTATGATCCTGTACGTATTTTGAAAATCTTCTCTGAATTTTCCAGATGGCTTTTTCAATTTGTTTCAAAATGTTCAGTATGAATCAGTTTTCAATGTGATTGTTTCATACCGGAAATGAAAATGAGCTTGTTTTCACTAGAGGACAACCAAAGTGCCTGCTGGTGTAAAAGGACATCGAGAACTGAAACTGTATATGAAAATTTAACATTGAAAGTTGTTCTAATGGTGTGAACAAAACTTGCATTGTTCTCTTGTATTCACAAGGAGAAAAAGATGATTTCTAGAGCTCAATCTTAGAATCATAGGATGGTTTGAGTCAGAAGGGACCTAAAGGTCATCTAGTCATTGAACATCTAGTTCCAATCCCCCTGCTATAGGCAGGGACACCTCTCGCTAGACCAGCTTGCTCAGTAACATGAAGAGAGATGTTAGTAAAGAAGAAAATAACCTGTAGCCACAAAGGGACCAAACCAAAGCTCAATTCTTTCTACAGTCTGAGGTCATTCAAACTTGCATCTTGCCTGTAGGTGCTATGGTGGTGATCTCCTGCAGGGTAGGGATGGGCGTTCTCTATTTCTCCTGGAGAAACAAATGAGGTTTAAGGAGAGAGTTGCTGATTCACTGGAGCCTGATTATTCAGGCAGTCCATCATCAGGATCCGAGGACTTTGTACTGCGTAGGAAGCAGTCTTGATATACATGGAGAAGGAATCTAAACCTGACCTCCTTCTTCCCAGAAATAGATGTGGGCCTTTGTGGTTGGACATTAACGATGTTGGGCATGCTCGTGCTTTCGTTCCTGTTCTGGATGAGTTAGCACAGCCTCAGCTGTGGGAGAAAGTACTCCTCCTCTGCCCTCTGTAATACTGTGAAGCAGCCTGTAGTGTGAGGATTACAGCAGTCTGCTGGGAGAGGAGAAGAGACTGCGTGTCTGGGTTCTCTCAGCATGGTAAGGAAGTTAAACCGTAGTCTTTGTGTCCTAATAAATACCCTAGAACTGATTTATGTGTTTGTTTGCAAGACGGCACATAGACTTGGAGGCAAGGTGATGTCTGCAGCAGGAATTCCTGCCTGCCACTGTTGCGTGTTGGGTGCTGTTGAAGCTTGTGCTCTGGGTTAGAGTGCACCAAGCGTGCTCTTGCCAAATCGCAGAGTCTTGAGTCAGAATGGTGTTAGGGGTGAAATGGGCAGCGAGCTGCTGAAAGATCTGGGTTGGGGCGGTATGACTTTCATGCCATAGCTCAGGTGCCCACTTGTTCTAGGTGTGTAAAAGACCGGGCAGACATTCTGAGGTCTGTGTTTCTTAGCTAGGCTCCTAACGTCATTCAGACTTTATTGTACGTGCGTTTCGGGTCTTATCTTTAATAAAAAAGAAGATGCTCTTAAAATATAAGCTAGAAAGCACTTTTTTCTTCCTTGTGTTCTTTGATTGATTAATCATTTCTAATATTTAATGATACGCAGTTTTCACATCTCTCAATAGTTTGAACATGAGATGAAGAGTTCCCCTTTTTAATAGTTTGCAACATTGATTGACATGAGTGGGAACCTGTGATCTAAGTTTTCCTCTTCTCTCCTCAAAGGTATGATCTGCAGCATCTGTCTGGTGAGAATCCGAGCCTATTCTATTTTCATACAGGCACTCTGATGGCTCAGCCATTTAGATCACACTCTGGAAAAAATCGGAGCATTGCCTCATTCCTCTAGGGGAAAAAAAAAAATAGTGCATTGCAAATGCACTGTGGAGTGCAGCCACAGTAGTTTTCATTCACAACCAAAAGATTCAGACAAAGGTCTTTGAATTCTCATCATTTTTTTCCCAGTGCTTGCTTTGTTTAGTTCTTCTCATTCTTTGTTTAGTATACATATCTCTCAGAAGATCAGCCTTTGTGTACAGGTTGTTTTGCACAGTGCTGCATGAGGGCACCTGACCTACTTGTGACCCAGTGACTGAGAAGTACTGCTCGTTGCTGCAGCAAAGCAGATAACCAACACCACGAGCGTTATCTTCTGCCTGAAAGAAACCACTGATTCCTGTGTACTCCTGAGAACTGAGCTAGAGGTTCTCAGTTAAAGTGATGCTAATATCTTTTGAGGTAGATATATTTTTAACTTTGTTTTACAAGCCACGCTTATGTATTTAAAATGCTGCTACTGAGAAGTAAATGACATCAAGCTATTTCTAAGTGCTCAGAGCACTCACAGCTGTGCTGAAAGGCGTGATGCTACTGAAGGCTGTTGAGCCTTGCTTTGGAGCCCTCTGGGGAAAGCAGGCAGCTGGGGGGCTTTGCCAGGCAGTGTTTCACCCTCCCATATGCTAGCTGTGCAATGGTGATGGCTTGAGGTGGCCCAGCCAGGGCGTGAATCATACCTGATACGAGGCATCTGCCAAAGAGAACCAAGCAAAATCACAGAGCAACTCGTGTTTTATGGGAATTCAAACTTCCTTGCTTATTTTGCAGGTGGCAGGAAGTAGTTCATCTGATGCTTTGCAGAAAATGGGTATCTTCACGTTGCATTGTGAACTGCATTGTTTTTTTTTTTTTTTCTCAAACAGACTAATTCTAATTTGGTATAAATTCAGGAATCTTTGGTCTTTGTGATTTACCTGTTATCAGTCAGTGGGGAAAAACTATGAAGGGAATTCCCAAATTCAGCAGATTACAACTAGGGGACGGCAAAGCATACCACTGTCTCTGAATTCTCCGGTCTCATCAGCCTGAGATACAAGGGTTGATAGGTTTAATGAGGTTCTCAAACGACAGAAGATTGTGTGCTGTTGTGGGAGTTTTGTGGTGACTCAGAGGCGGCCACATTTGAATTGCATGAAGGCATTTGCTTTCAGGCGACATCACTGTATTGCCTGGGTTCACCAAGGTAGGGGAGAGACACTTTGTGTTGTCCAGGAGCAATGTCCAGATTCACACTGTAGAAGTCCACTTGATTCCGGATCTGCAAAATCACAGTGTTTCCTCACTGCAATTAAGTGCTTTATTTGTTCTAGTATCTTCTTCAGTATTTTGGTATTGTCATCAAAGACTTCAGTAATAATGGCTCTTTTTTTCCCCTTCTTATTAAGTTTTTGTCTGCCTTAAACTCCAAGAAGTACACTTGCTTGCCCTGAAGAAAAATAGCATGATGTCCACACAGATGCTTTAGAGTGGGTGAGGTTGTGCATCATCATGCAAAGTAGAGGTATTGAATTAGTATATAATGAGCTTATTATGGTAAAAAAAAAATCCCTCTTGCACTCCAGCCCATAGCCAGACTTGGACAATTAATGCAGTGACTGTACGTGCAGCAGTAGCGCTTAGAAGCCTTAACTTCATCTTGCTAAAGATCACGTGCACCTCTCATCTGAAGTGCTTATCACTACGAGGTAAATGGGCGTGCTGCTATGGGCATGAGAAATGTAGAAGTGGGAATTAAAGGTGCCAGCACTGTGGTGATCAATGTTTGAAGCAATGGGTACACTGCTCAGCTGCAGGCTGTGTGCCAAAGCCCATGTCAGCTTTTTCTTTCTGTACCTTTGTTTCCCCATCTTGCAAATGTTGCTTTTGAATAAGAATGCTATTGTGACAGCACAGGCAGTGGTTTTGTTAAGACAGGCTCATGGTATAACCAGAATTATTTTATCTAAACCTTTTCAAGTCGGCGGTGCTATTAAAATCATCATAACTTAGATAAATAAGGGCATTGAGTACAACATGGGTCACTTCAAACACCACCTCAGTCATTTGCCATATTGGGTTGAAATCCTGCTAAGATTACTGTTGAAGTAACTGTTGTTACTAACTTTCTTAATCTCTTCTGTGAAATTTTAAACTTAAATTGTGTTTTCCCTGCTTTTTCTCTTTTGACCTTGCCTATACATAATATATATGTATTAGATTTTTAAATATGTATTTAAGACAGGAGCACAGTCACGAACAGACACCCATGTACACTCATCACATGGAATTAAATACTTTCATGACAAAACAGGATGCATCATAAATCTGTTATAAATCATTTTAGTTGAGAAAGAGTTTCTTATGGAAACACTGATCAGGTTGTGTTGTTGTTGTTTTTTTTTTTTTATAAGGGAAAATATGATGCAAGTGCAAATTGTTGTTCTGCTGAAATACTGTAGGTGTAGTTTCAGTGGAAGCCTAACACAGTCAGGACTCACATCTCTGATATCTCACCCTGCTGCTTCTTTGGAGGTAGTGTAATACCTTGTCAGAGCACATGCTAAGACTTGCCACTCTATTGTTTAACTACTACCATAAGAATGCTTTAATTGAAGGAAATATTAAGAAACCAAAGCTTATTTTTTCAGGCTTCATTCAACTATGCTTTCTCACTGACCTACAAAAGGTGTCTTAGTTGCTCTCTAGATTTTGGTTGAAGTTAACTAAGAGAAAGCTTGGCAGGATTTGGAGGCTTGCCATGAATTTAAGCAGTTTTGTTCCTAACTCCCAGACTTCGGGACAACCTGAGTTCCAGAACCCATCTTTGTTGTTCCACAGCAAGAATTGATCTAGCCTGATATACTGCAAAACAAAACTTTAATTATCCTTCAGCGCTGCACTTGAACGTACATGCCTTTGTATGAGAAAGCAGCCTTATTTGCAGTCAAGTCACTTCTTACAAATCTGTGCCTTGAGATAATAATGTCTCAAATCTGCTGGTACAGCTAAGTGAGAGTAGTAGTTAGCCTTCTGCTATAGGCGTGTGTCCTGTGTAATGCTCAGCTTGTCAGCAGTGATTTCAAAATCAGGGAAACCAAGACATATAGTACCATATTTATAACTCTAGGGTGATGCTCAAGTTTCTGTTGTGGAAGGGGAAGTGGAGAGTTTACTAAATACATTATGTAAAGTTTCTTTTCAATCACCACCACAATAAATGCACTCTATTACCTGGATAGTGGTTTCAGGCAGCAATTCACATCATTGGTTTATTTCCCCTGGGCGTGTTTGATGCGTTTTTGAAGGTCAATTTAAAAATTGCATGGATCGATTGTAAAAAGAATACAGCGCTTTCCATTCAATTTTGTCTTACAGACTCCTCTCGCAGACCAAATTACCACAGGCACAGGACTTCTTGGACACTGCTGTGGAATGGGAGAGCACAGCTCAACAGGAAAGGTGGTGTTACACATCATGGCTTTGGTATTTGGTGCTCTGGGCAAAGACTTGCAAGACCAGGAAAAGAAAATCACCTGTAAGTAATATCTGCACTTAGTCACCTGGTACAGGCAGATAGCACTGCTTCCACTTCTGTGTTTGCAGGCAATTGAGCAAGGCAATGAATACAGTTAGACTTAGTCACAGATTTTCAGTTGCAGCTGAAACTTTGAAGGGTTGAATTTATTTTAGTTGAGGCTGGATCTCTGATTTTTTTTGCTACTAAACAAAGCCAGCTGAAGATGAATAAATGGCTAAAAGCGAATCGACTTTTTTTATATTCCCAAACAGAGCTGATTAAAAAGTTCAGCTCAAATTGGTAAGGATCAAGTCTGCTCAAGATGCTGAGCTCTGCAGACAGCAACTAAATGTCTGTGGCAACTGGTAAGTTTCCTCCCAGACCTAACCTTGTCTTTGAGCCTTGGCCTCTCCCTGCTGAGCAGCTGGCATGACTTTTGGCCACAAAGGAGACCTTGTGCTTTGTGTCTGAGTTGGTGCACGGTGCCCAATGGCTTGTGTCACAGCTCTGCAGCTGTTCAGCCACATCTCACCCAAAGGCTTGGGCAGCAATTTGTTAAGTCCCTGCTACCACGGTGCAGTTCAGCAGTGCCTGAGCTTCTCCTTGGCTGCCCCCCATCTTCCTCCCCCAGCAAAACAGTTGTGAGCTTTGAATCCTTTTCAGTGGGGTCCTGCTGGATTTACTGTCCCTCGATGCTGTGCCACCTGTAAGGACAAGTCCCTTGTTGTTCAGGATTCAGAAAGAGAAGTCTTCTGAAAAGCTAGCCTCAGCTAACCCATGCCTAGACATTTTTTCCACCATGAGATGCTTACCTGGAAACTGCTGCCCAGATATTGTTTCATGCACTCCCAGCTGAGATTTGTTCCCTGTTGCCCAACATTCATGTCTTACTTGATGCCTTTCTGGAGAGGTCTTGTTGGTTTCTTTCTTGCCTCTGAACTGCACAAGTAATCATATGAGCAGGCCACAAGAGTGGTACAGTCAGATGTCCTCCTTTTCCGTAAGTGACTGTGTCTGTGGGTGAATCTGCATTTAGGTGTAGGGATTTTTAAAAGGTTGCACATATCTCTTGTGCTGTGACCTCAGTACTTAGTTTGGTTCTTACTCCATTCTAAAACCAAGGACTTCTTGTCATCATCTTCCAGGAAAAGGCGATTGAATATCACGCTCTCCATTTGCCGACAACTCTTCTTGTGATAGCTATTACTGGGGAAATGCTTTTATGATTTAGTAGAGAAATAGGTTTGCAGTCCAGGGATGCCTGCTCTGCTGTTCTGCTGTTATTTTTAGAAGCCTTGCTCTTGTTTTAATTGGACTCCTTGTTCAATTTTAGAAGACGATGTTTTACTGTGATATGTGATATAATTTAGAATGTGAAATTGCCTCACTCAGAAAGCAAGAGAGAGAATTCAGGTGCCCAGCCTACCCTGGGCTGTTGTGCAGCGTGCTAAAATCAATAAATTGGTTTACTGGGTTCTGCACCACGTTTATATTTTGTGCAGACAGACCTGACTTACACCAGATCCCCAGTATGTGAAATCAAGAGTAAAGCTAAAATATTACCTGCATTTTCTAAGGAAATGCTGCCTAAATTCCTCCAGGGCTCTAGGAGAAGCTGCACACGTAGAGCCAGAGCTAATGGATTTTGCAATTAAGAAGCACTTCTGCTGACTTGTAGGACTCTAACTCTTGATTAAGGTGCATTGCATTTCAGTCAATGCTCTATGGCTTTCTGAGAGACAGGTGGATAAATATGGACTCTTTAAGGATTACAACTTGGTTTCCACAGTGCCTTGCATGTTTGACACCATGCATCCTATGGACCTTAGGATGTTTTTGAAATTCGTCTCTTTAGCAGATTGGATTGATTTTGAACCTCACATAAACAAAGTTTCCTTTATATTCAGATGATGTAAAGGTTTCACCGTGTGGTCTGCCAGCAGGCTTGTGTGTTTAGTGAAAAAGGTAAGGTTGCCAATTTGACAAGAGTATATATTTTAAAGCCATTTTGCAGAATCAAATGGTGGGAGATATTTAATTGCAGTGACCATGTTAGAGAATGGACTGAATAGTGAGGAATAGAACTGTGGATGTGTTTGATGAAGCATAATTCAGATAGAGATGTAATCCAGGCTTAGGTGATCCTGTGGGGACCGAAGTGATGTGTTTTTGTCTTGTAAATGAGGCTGACATGGGGTCACTTTTTAGGAATACATAGCACCAGAGGACACTGTGGGTGCTAAGGGTGTGCTCTGACACTCATGCCAAGCGACGCTTCTTCAGTGATACACCGGGGCACTATTTGATGAAACTTGCCATCAGATGGCATAAATTCCCTGACAACTCTTAGCGACACTGAAGCAGGCATTCCTGGAAAACGCTGCAGCACTGGAGCCAAGTAGTTAATCAGGTGTAACATGAGGCTTTGACATGATTTACTGCCTGCTGGTAGCTCATACTGGGGCTGTATTGTCCTCCTGTATGTACTGTATAATAGTTTTAAGCTGTCCTTGGACAGGGCCCTATTGTAAACAAGCTGTCCGGCTTAACTGGGATATCCTGTAAAAATATGTTAATAAAAACTGAAATCATTGTAAAGGATCCTATTCCTACTATTTCTGCTTCCTGAGCTATTCCCACCAGTGATGTACAGCACAAGCTCTTAACTCTTGCTGTGCTGGTGCTTGACTGAAGCCTGGCAGTTTTGCAGGACTTGGTCTGAACTGGATCCATTGCCTCACATCATCTCAGCACGTTCCTGTACACGATGGCTGCACAATGCAGAAATCAGCACTGAAATAAAGCTTATTTTCAAAGTGTCAATTTCAGGTAGGTTGCTCCAAAATAAATGCCTCCTTTAGTTCCATGTAAACGGCAAAACACTTTTTTTTTCAGCATGGTCACCACCATTAGCTCTGCATTTTCAGCAGTGATGGATAAGAACCTGTGTGCTGGGCTTGTCAAAACCTGCACCAGCAGGTTGCTTTTGCCACTGCTGAAGCATACCTCCCACCCTTCACTGTGCTCACATCCACTGCTGTTCTCCATAGATGTTCAGCAAATGTCAATAAATGTCAGTGGGGGCCACTTTTTGCTGCACAGAGGAATTCAGTGACACACCTTTGCTTCACACACACTTCTATGTCAGACGCCATTTTGTCAGACTGCTTGTTTTATTTTTATTTCCTGTCCTTTTGTGTAGTCTCAGCTTAGCTAGGTCTGTGGAGGGACTTATGAGGTAGTGCTAGATGTGAAAGGAGCTTTAGAAGTGAGCTAACTTGAGTATTATATCAGGGCCTCTATCACCTGGAGCTGGCTGGTCGGGATAAAACAGCAAGGCCTCACATGGGCCAAATTTTGGAAAGCGATTCTGAAAGATATCATGAGGTGTTATACTGTTTGCAACTGCTTCTAGATTCTGTGGCTGGAGATGCATGCAAGAAATACAAGGGAAGGGTTGCTGTTTTGCTAACCTGCTTATCCTTCTTGCAACAGTGATGCCTCTAGTACAGGATACCTTATGGTATCCGGCCTTCTGTTAATTAAATGTAATTTTGCATGTAAAGAAAGCACCAACAGTTTGACAAGTGGGAATGTGGCTTATCCCCATAGATGGCTGCAATACACAGGTTTGCATGGTGGCTTGGGAATGGGGATTGTGTGTTGTGCAGCTGTTGGAAAACATAAAAAGTGACCTGGGCCCCTGCGAGCAAGCCTGGCTTTAGCTGTAAATTGATACAGCAGATCTCCAGGGTTTTCATCACAAGTACAAATTTCAGATCTGTGCACAGCAGTTTTGCTTATTCGTCCTTCTTTCGGGTTTTCTGATTGCGAAGATTCCACCTACTTTTAAAGATGAACTGCAAAGCAACTTATTGGCTATGGGTACAATTTAATAATTGAAGAGCTTAATCTTTAAACTTGGAATGAGACGAATGAATGTCCCCAGTGTATTTCCAGCATAGCAGTCAATTTAAAATCTGTCTTAGAAAAGAAGAAAACAAGACTGTTTCGATTTTATATTACAAAAGAAGGTGTGAAAAGTCACTTTTCTTGCTTCATTTTTAAATTTATGAAAGTAGTCATCTTTGGTCTGGAAAACATTTGTCAGTGAACGCTGCAGGACTCTGTAGTGGTTGTGCCATTAAAGGTTTGGTAGAGTATGGAAAAGGTCCTGGTGGTTGTGGAGGGATGTGGAGGGAGGCTACTTTCAGCTCAAAGATCAGCTTTCAAACAAACCTCTCGTGCTGCAGACACCAATTCCCTTGTCATTGCATCTTTTTATTTTTTTCCTCGATCTGATCCATTCAGAGTTATTGAGTGATAAAGGAAAAGATAGATAGATGTGCTGTTTGTTTTCTAGCTGTTGATAACAAAAGTGAAATTGCTTGATCAAGGCAGCTGAGCTGGGCAGCTGGGGCAAACAAGGATAAACAAGGCATGCTTTTGAATGAAGTCACTAACATCTCAATTATATCCCCATAAAGCATCCTGACTAACTGGAGCTGGTCATCTCACTTCAAGATGGCAGTAGAGATGCAGCAGAAATTTTCACCTCAGCCAGCAGGTTGAGATGAAAGTCTTTGTGAGAAGCAGAGGCGCGATGTTGATCTCATGTTTGTGCTGAGGCAAATGCTACACGCGATTCCCCTCTGCAGGGACTTCACAAAATAGCTGGTGCGTGCTTGTCCTGATGCGAGACAGCTTTCTGATGGTGATATGGACATAGCTGTACAAAGGACAGGATTTATAAGCAAAGTGCTTCAATCCTTGTAGGTGGCAGCCTGACCTGGCTCCTGTGACCCAACGGAGAGGTTCCCCCATGCTCTGCACGTCTCTGTGCACGTGTCTTTACAAACAGCTGTCTCTCCAGCGGACTGTAGCTGTTTTGAACAACTTTGGGTGAGTCCACAAAGCATTACATTAGGTGAGAATGAGTGATTTTGAGGGGGAAGAGAGCTAAAAGATATTTCAGTCAACCTGAAAATTGCAACAACAAAATTGCAACAACAGCAACAGTTGGCTGCTGGTTGGGACTAGCTCTATGAACTGCACTTATTTGCAGTCATCTGATCACTGCTCATTGATAAGGAGTAGTGAAGAGATTCAGGAGGCAGAAAACCATATTCTTCTATTCATAGAAATGTTTTG